ATGAACTTGACGAGGACATGGATGACTTCGATGAGGAACAAGGATCCTATGGGGATATGGAAGGTGAGGTCACCTCTTTCTATGATTTTGTCAGATTACTGACTCGCCAAGAAGACGATGACCTTCTTGAGCCATGGGGATGGGAAGGCGATGAACCTCCAATGGCTCGAGGACATCCCCAATCCCGCTTCCGCGGAGGCCCGCCGCCGGCCTGGGCTACGGTCACTGAAATCATGCCAGGTCGCCCATCCGGTCTTGTTCCCATCCAGCCTTATCACCGGGTTCACCGGACCCAAATCACACCCCGCGGCAACGACGATGGCATTAATCCTCTTCTTGTCCGGACTGACCGCCCAGATCCTGCCATTCCACCTCGCGCTGCTGCTGATCCTTTCGCCGATTGGGGCCAGGCTATGGACACTGCAGGTGGCCGAGTTGTTGCCATGGATAGCCCAATTAGCTTCATGAATGCCATTATGCAAGCCATTGGCGGACAGGCGGCGCCAGGTTTCGGTGTTGTCACTCGCCCTGATGGTATTCACGTCCATGTCGACCGACGGGCAGTCCTGCCTGGCCGTATCCAGGATATGCTTGGAATCCCCCGAGGAACAGGCCCTCCAGCTCGCACTCGCGGCGACGATCCTCACACTGCCGTCAAATTTGGTCTTGGTACCACCAGAACCCGCTGGCAGGAAGAGGCCCGCATCATTTTCGGCAACCAACACGTTGAGCGGGCCATGCGCGTCATCAACTCCATTCTCAAACTCTTGGTTCCCCCTGCCATCGAGGAGGAGAAGCAGCGCCAGAAGCTCGCGGAAGAGGAACGCAAACGTGTTCAAGCCGAAAGGGCTGAAAAGGAGCGCCAAGATCGCATTGCCGCTGAAGAAAAACAGCGTGAGCTTAAGCAAAAGGAGGAGGAAGAAAACGCCCGACTTCAGGCAGAGAAAGAACAGCAGGAAGCTGAGCGCCAAGCTGCTGGGGTTGATGAGCCCATGGAAGACGTCCAAGAAACCGATACTGCGGCTGAAACCGCTGGCCCATCTACTCAACCCGAAGCCCAGCCCACTGAACCTACTCATCGAGTCTACACGAACATCAGAGGCCGCCAAGTTGATATCACCGGCCTGGAGATTGATTCGGAATACCTAGAGGCTCTGCCTGAGGAACTCCGGGAGGAAGTCATCATGCAACAGCTTGCTGAACATCGATCCCAGGCTGCCGCCGCGGGTGAGGAGGATACTGAGATAAACCAAGAATTCCTTGAAGCCTTGCCTGCCGAGATCCGCGAAGAATTACTACAACAAGAAGCGGCCGATCGACGCCGGCGCGAACGTGAGACCGCGCGACGACAGGCGGCCACTGCTGGTGGTGCTAGCGCTGCAGCTCCTAGCACTCAACCGGCGGAAGAAATGGATGCAGTAAGCTTCCTTGCCACTCTCGATCCCTCTTTGCGCCAAGCTGTTCTGGCCGATCAACCCGAGGATGTTCTCGCAACCTTGGGTCCAGAGTACTTGACCGAAGCCCGTGGTATGGGTGGTAGCGGCCGACGCATGGCCCAGTTTGGTGACATGAGTGCCATCGATCACCGACAGAGAATTGAACCTGCTGCAGGCCAAGAACCGAAGAAAGAGCAGAGACGTCAAATTGTTCAAATGCTCGACAAGGCTGGCGTTGCAACCCTTCTCCGCCTGATGTTTATGCCTCTTCAGGGCAATGCTCGCCATCAATTGAACGATATCCTTCACAATGTTTGTGAGAACCGCCAGAACCGGAGTGAGGTGATCAGTGTTCTTCTTTCGATCTTACAGGATGGCAGCGTTGATTCCACTGCGATTGAACGCAGCTTTTCTCATCTTTCTCTGCGTGCAAAGGCACCAGGAACACAAAAGACACCGCAGTCTAAGCGAACCCTCGCTATCCAGACTGCTTCGAGCGTCAGCAGTGAAGTGACCCCAATTATGGTCATCCAACAATGTATCGCTGCGCTGTCTTTCCTTTCGCAGTTCAACCCTCATATTGCTTGGTTCTTCCTGACGGAGCATGACTCTGCTTCAGGTGGTAAACTCAAGTCATTACGCAAGGGCAAAGGCAAAGACAACCGAGCTAACAAGTTCGCTCTAAACGCACTCCTTTCTCTCCTTGACCGCAAGTTGATAATGGAAAGCCCTAACTGCATGGAGCAACTGTCTAGCCTCCTTAGCAGCATCACACAACCACTGACCGTCCTTCTTCGTCGTGAGAAGGAGCGGCAGGAAGAGGGCAAGGGCAAGAAGCCCGAGAGACCTCAAATCGAAGCACCCGCCGATCAGCCTGCTGAGGCTGCCGATTCCAGCATGGACACATCCATGACCGACGCTCCGCTTCCCACCGTGGAAACCCCTGGAGCCTCTGGCGAAGAGACCGCGGAGAATGAGGAGGCTACCTTAGCTGAAGCCAAGAAATCTGAAGATTCCAAGGAGCCCGCCGAGGACGAGAAGCGCAAGAAGCGAAGCATCGAGCCTCCTGTCGTACCGGATCACAACTTCCGACTGGTTGTCCACATCCTTGCGGCTCGTGAGTGCAATGGCAAGACATTCCGCGATACACTTTCCACCATCAACAATCTTTCTGCTATTCCTGGAGCTAGAGACGTGATCGGCAATGAACTGGTTTCTCAAGCGCAGGCCCTTAGTGACACCATCTTGGGTGATTTGGAGGATCTTCTTCCTCATATCCACCAGGCCAGAACTGGTACCGACATGCAAGGCCTTGCTCTAGCGAAGTTCTCCCCAGCTAGCTCAGACCAGGCGAAGTTGCTACGTATCCTGACCGCACTTGATTACCTATTTGACCAGGCACGAGCGGATAAGTCCAAGGACATTGAGCCTGGATCTGCTCCCAAGGAGGATGTTCTCAAGAAGCTCTATGAAAGCGCCACTTTCGGCCCGCTTTGGAACAAGCTGAGCGACTGCTTGACTGTCATTCGGCAGAAGGAAAATATGCTGAACGTGGCTACTATCCTTCTCCCTCTCATTGAGGCATTGATGGTCGTCTGCAAGAATACCACGCTGAAGGACCAGCCGCTGTCTCGCGGAAGCCGTGAATTGTCAGTCAACAGCACTGCAACAGCTGATGCCAGTCTCAGCATGGAGAACATCTTCTTCCGGTTCACCGAAGAACATCGCAAGATTCTCAACGAGCTCGTCCGCCAGAACCCTCGCCTCATGAGCGGCACATTCTCCCTACTGGTCAAGAACCCCAAGGTCCTAGAATTCGACAACAAGCGCAACTACTTTACTCGTCGTGTTCACTCCCGCGGTGCCGAGCCTCGCCACCCTCATCCTCCTCTGCAGCTCTCTGTGCGCAGAGCTGAGGTTTTCCTTGACTCTTTCAAGTCCTTGTACTTCAAGAGCGCCGATGAATTGAAGTATGGCAAATTGAACGTACGATTCCACGGCGAGGAGGGTGTCGATGCTGGTGGTGTCACCAGAGAATGGTTCCAAGTCCTTGCCCGTGGCATGTTCAACCCCAACTACGCCTTGTTCATCCCTGTCGCTGCTGATCGGACTACCTTCCACCCCAACCGCCTGAGTGGCGTCAACTCGGAACATCTCATGTTCTTCAAATTCATTGGGCGGATCATTGGTAAGGCCTTGTACGAAGGCCGTGTTCTCGACTGCCACTTCAGCCGAGCAGTCTACAAGAATATCCTCGGACGATCCGTGTCTATCAAGGATATGGAAACTCTCGACCTGGACTACTACAAATCACTTCTGTGGATGCTGGAGAACGACATTACCGATATCATTACCGAGACCTTCTCCATTGAAACCGATGACTTTGGCGAAAAGCAGGTTATCGACCTAAAGCCTGGTGGTCACGACATTCCCGTTACACAGGAGAACAAGGAGGAGTACGTTCAGCGCGTGGTTGAATATCGCCTCGTCGAATCTGTTCGCGAGCAACTGGACAACTTCCTCAAGGGCTTCCACGAAATCATACCTCCCGAGTTGATCTCCATTTTCAACGAGCAAGAGCTGGAACTTTTGATTTCCGGTCTTCCTGAGATCGATGTGGATGAGTGGAAGAACAACACCGAGTATCACAACTACTCCGCCTCTTCCTCGCAGATCCAATGGTTCTGGCGTGCCGTCCGCTCATTCGACAAGGAGGAGCGTGCCAAGCTTTTGCAGTTCGTCACTGGAACTAGTAAGGTTCCCCTCAATGGTTTCAAGGAACTTGAGGGTATGAACGGTGTGAGCAAGTTCAACATCCATCGCGACTATGGCCACAAGGATCGCCTTCCTAGCTCGCATACCTGTTTCAACCGTAAGTTTTTTTCCTCCGCATTTCTTGGCTGTATTAATGCAATTTACTAACTATTGTTAACAGAGCTTGATCTTCCTGAGTATGAAAGTTATGAAGATCTTCGTCAACGTCTTTACACGGCCGTGACAACTGGCAGTGAGTACTTCGGATTTGCCTAGACTATCCTATTCTACGGCATGGGAATGGTTTCATCCAGCCAAAGCATTGCCTGGCGTTTCTCTTGATTCTTATGGGATTTTCTTTTTATTGGGGTCGAAAGAGGAAGTACAAGTATGGAAGGCTGGCAAAAGCCAGCGAGGAGAAGTTAGTTTATGAGAAGATGAAAACTGAGGCACCTGGTAAGGGATTCGGTTGAAGTGCAGGTCAACCGTGTTCTTTCCAGCGCCCTCTTTATGTACTTAAATTGCTGCATTTATTTTCTTTCCCTTCAAATTCGCTGCGTACTTCTTTGGTCATTTTGAGTAGAATGTTACATGCAGGTCATATAGATCCCCAGGGCTCCAAGGGCGTGGCGGTGGGTTTATGTCATCAGGCGGTGAGCCCGTCACGGGACTGCATAGAAAAAAAGACATGCGGGGCCGCGGAGGAAAATCGATTTTTTGAGCCGAACACGGTCATCCTGAAGAAGAGTGTGTTTTGTGCTTCTTTGAATTGAATATCTCTCTTCTTGCTGTTTTACAGACCCCTAAATCATGTCTACCAACTCTATTAAGCTCCTGACTGGCAACAGTCACCCGGAGCTTGCTAACCTAGTTGCTGATCGGTATGTGTAACTGACTAGGTCAACCTTGGAAGACTGGGCCAGCGGCTAATTCTAGAGTTATGTATCAGGCTCGGCATTGAGTTGACCAAGATTATGGTCCTGCAATACTCCAACCAAGAAACTAGTGTCACAATCGGAGAGAGCGTCCGGGACGAAGATGGTACAAGCATCCCACCTTAATCGTGATATCAAGAACCCCCACTCATATATATGACTTGTTACTCAGTCTTCATTCTCCAATCCACGAAACCAAATGATATCAATGATGGACTCATGGAGCTCCTGATCATGATCAACGCTTGCAAGACCGCCTCAGCCCGCCGCATCACAGCCGTCATCCCCAACTTCCCTTACGCCCGCCAAGATAAGAAGGACAAGAGTCGTGCTCCCATCACCGCCAAGTTGATGGCCAACATGCTCCAGACTGCCGGCTGCAACCATGTTATCACCATGGACCTGCACGCCAGCCAGATCCAGGGCTTCTTCAACGTCCCCGTCGACAACCTGTACGCCGAGCCCAGCATGCTCAAGTATATCCGTGAGAACCTCGACGTCAGCAACTGTGTCATCGTCAGCCCGGATGCCGGCGGTGCCAAGCGGTAAGTTGTGCCTATCCGGATGCTATACACGTATCTATATAATGAGGGGTTGGTTCAAAGGCTAATTTGGATTACTGTTAAGTGCTACTGCCATTGCTGATCGCCTGGACTTGCAATTCGCGCTTATTCACAAGGAACGTGCCCGTCCCAATGAGGTCTCGCGCATGGTCCTTGTCGGTAATGTCAAGGACAAGATCGCTATCATCGTCGACGATATGGCCGACACCTGCGGCACACTTGCCAAGGCTGCCGAAACCGTCATGCAGCACGGTGCTACCGAAGTCAACGCCATCGTTGTGCACGGTATTCTGTCCGGCAAGGCGATTGAGAACCTGAACGGCAGCTGCCTCAAGCGGTATGTACACCCCCAGATAACAGCATCGAGTCATTGGAATATTGAATGATTTCAACTTTTCGGGAACCCTTTTGACTAACTCTCTCTCGCAGCATTATCGTCAGCAACACTGTCCCATTGGGCGACAAGCAAGAGCAGTGTGACAAGATCCATACGATCGATATCAGCCCTACACTGGCAGAGGCATGCCGTCGTACACACAACGGCGAGTCAGTTAGCTTCTTGTTCTCGCACACTGTGGGGTAAATCAAAGGCAGAGAATGAGTTATTACATCAAGACAGAGGATCAATTCTACGGGTTGTCCTAAAGATTACCTACGAGCGTGGTTACGCGAAACCGTGGAGTGAGCGGGAAACAAAAATACGATTTTTATGACCCTTTTTATTAGCCGGACGAGGATGTTAGTCCCCGGGTGTTTTATTATTGTTTACTATGTTCTTTTTTTCTTTGAAGAGAGAGATCAACGTTTAAATGTTGGTTTTACGCTGTTCTCTCTGGCGGAAGTTGGTTCTCCTTTGCTGGGTTCGGTTGCATCGTGCATGTGTGTGTACTCTCTTATGCAGAGTATTTCCTATTTGGTTTAAATTATTGCAAGGCCTGATGGCTGTTTCACAACGTCCAAAATTAGACATGGTGTTTTTTTTAAATTGAGGAATTGCTGCTATGGCTGTTGTGTTGACTTGGCTTTTTCTAAATTTGATATACTGCTATAATCCTACAACATATGTAAATTTATATAGCAGAACACATGCCACTCGGGCACTACTAGCCGCGGGGCTGGAGTGGAAACACATCTAATAGTGGAAGTTCTTTGTAGTAACTCTGCTCGCAACACGTACTATTGACCTCAAAGTGCAATCATAACCTTGAAAAACATAATTCCGGACGCCCTTCTGAGACCCTTTAGAGACCTTGTATAACACGTGACCCGTGACTATACTGACCCTCGGGGGAACTGTCCCTGGAAGCGGGGGAATTTAAGGTAATGGGATTATTGAACTAGTGTGTATAAGTGACTTCATCCAAGTGGAGTAGACCTAAGAGCCCACAAAGAGGGGGAAGAATATTAATCGAGGGGGATATACAATCGACTACTCCCCCATGCCCAATATGACTACGCCTACTCCTTGAAAAAAAAAAAGCCTCGAGCAATTGACAGAACTGAGTATTGAAATTTGCATGCACTCCATTCAAAAAAAAAAGGGTCATCAAAAAAGGTAGGTTCAACACAGATATGCATGCGACTCCCAAGGCCCGAAATCACTGTAGCCAAACACAAGGGAGTATCAACCACTCAGCCTGCTTTGTACGTTTTGAAACCTGTTCCCCGTCTCTTTTCTTGTTCCCTTTTCTTTTTATCAGACATGTATCCTCCGCGCCCCTGAGTGTGATTCATTTTTTGTGAATTCCCCTCAAATCATCCCAGAGACGTGAAGCTCCTCCATTAAACCCCATCGCCGCAGAACGAAATCATAAAACCGCGGGTTTGGAAGTTTACTTCCGCATGGAGGAAGCCCTCCGCTTGCGGAGCTCATCACGCTTGGCCTTCTCCTCGTGGACACGGCCGGCAAGGAGCTTAGCGTAGTCGTTACTATGTAACCGTTAGTTCAAATGTTCATTTTTTTTTCCAAAAATTCAAACCAATACACCCGATGGATGATTGATCAGAGAATAGAAAAGAGAAGGGAGTCTTACGCAGCATCACGGGCAGTCTCAGCACGGCGGCGCTTGATGGCAACGCGTTGGCGCTTGCGCTGGAGACGCTGGGGGGTAACCAGACGCTGGATCTTGGGGGCCTTGGTGTAATCCTGCTTGCCCTCCTTGGTGACGGTACGGCGGATGACGAACTTGCGGACGTCGTCCTTCTTGTCGAGACCGAAGAAGCGACGGATCTTGGTGGCACGCTTGGGGCCGAGACGCTTGGGGACAACGGTGTCGGTGAGACCGGGGAGCTCACCCTCGCCCTGCTTGACGATGGACAGAGCAAGGACGGCAAGGTCCAGACCGGTGATGGCACCGCGGACGGACTTGCGCTTGCGCTCACCGGTGCGGCGGGGGCGGTAGCAGCTGTGGCCGTCGGCAAGGAGCAGACGGGTACGGGTGGGGAGGAGAACTGTAGAAATTCGATGAGTATCCTGCGGTTTGGTGGTTGTATCCCTGGGGGGGTTGGATATAATTTTTTTTTTGATCATTCCCCAGGTTGTTGTGCGGATGTGTACGTACCACCCTGCTTCATGGGGAAACCTGTAAATTAAAATCGTCAGCATTCTTGGTTCTCGTTGTGTGCGTTGAATTCCATTTTCCATAATCGAATTGTTGTTCCGACACTGGGAATGGAGTGGGATTGTATGCGTACCCTGCTTGTCGTTACCACCGGTAATCTTGAAGACGTAACCCTTGAACTCATCACCGAGAGCATCGCCGGCAACCTAATCAAAAGAAATCCCAATTAGCCAGTCGTTCTCCATAGTCGTATGTGTGTGTATATATATAGATTGTTCATCGATTTGGTGTCGGAGTCGGGGAAGGATGAAGGATAAGGGAGTGCTGACTTCGGTGCCCATGCGCTTCTCCATGAAGGGACGGAGCTTGCGCTCATCGTCGATCTCGATAATTTTCTGGGACCCATTGGCCGGGTAGGAGACGTTGAGCTTCATCTTGACGGAGGCGGCGCGGTCAAGACGGTAGCGCGGGTGTTGTCGATTTGTGAGATTGTCGTCGAAGGAGTCTGTATTGTGGATTTTTTTTAGTTCGCCGGCTTAGCGAGGTGCAAGTCACGTGTCACGTGTGGGAAGTAGGGCTTCTGGTCACCAAATGTAGTTTAGCGTGGTTCTACCCAGGTCATGTGACTAGGTATCAGCACCCTGACATTTTCTTTTCTTGGTTCATCAACTCAGTCAAGTTCATAAAATGTTGTGGTGTGGGTGTCTACAGAATGCTGAAAACTCCAAAATAACTGTATTCTCAGAGATGCATATGAAACTTGCTCCCGCCGACTATGCATCCAAAACACAACACATAATCCAGGACCGCCAGCAACTATAGATTTCCATCCGCTTTGAATCAACATAGTGCTCCATTACTCAGACGCGAGACGTCCCAGTGCGACTTTTGAATCCGACTGGCTTATAATCACCGACGAAATGATGAATGAATGTTTCGGGTCATGATTCAGTCTCGACCGGCCGGACTTCAACTTTTATATACATCAAAGACTGAACATGGTCTCACCAAGCGACTCATTGACATCCACCACGAACCTCCACTAACCATATTTGACTTTATACTTGGTGTTTAGTCTGAACCATTGGCATGTCAGACCTTGCAAACGGTAGTGCATGGGTCCTTGAGCAGACAACCCCTGGAGTTGTAAGACACTGTCCCATGATAAGCCCTGGACGGCTTCAAACTATGGAAACTCAGGAATGACCAAGTACTGGCTAACTAACCGCTGGTCCCATTCCGGGTATCATGTACGAGAATAGTCAGCCGCGTATGCGACCATTGTCCTTGATGACATAGGGGATCAGAAATCCGATCCATTTTACTCAAAACAATATCAGGAACGTTCCAATGTCATATTCAAGAAGATCATTCTACAATGCATTTTTTTGGGTGTATTTTTAGATGTTTCCTCTTCCCAATGTTATAACCAAAAAATAATAAAAATGTTAACATAGTTTGTTAATCTCCATCGTATCTTTTCCCCACTGTTTTTTTATCCCTTATCCATTTATTTTCCGATAGAAACACCGTGTCTCACAGGTACTCCGCCCTAGAGATCTGCAGTATACAATGTCTTGGCACATCAATAGTACCGAGAAACAATTGCGTCTCAGACGGCAAATAGGTCAAAAGAATGTCAAATCCCTAAGACAATGCGAAACAGAACGCCACTGGACGTGGCCTTGTGTGATGGGCTCTGTAAGAGATGCTAGTAAGTCTAGACCGATCTCCACTATTCGGACTGGAAAATGTGAAAGAACAGGAGAACCCAAATATCAGCACGAGGCTTAGTTAGATACGGAAGAAAATACCAGATCGAGGAATTGTAGCCCGGTCTGCTCCGCAAGTAAAAAGAAGTTCAACCCGGCGACTCTGATTTGTCTAGTTGGACGTTGATCTATTCGGCTCTTTCCGAGCCACGCGGTCAATCTAGACCTTGCCGGTGCTTCATTGTCCGAGTGGAGATTTCGTCGCAATCTCCAATTCTTTGTAGTGCCGGATAATCATTTGGTTCTCCCGTAGAATATGAAAGACATTCGTTTCTGATTATACTGTGTCGCATTGCTATTGCTACTCGGTAGCAATAGCTCGGCTTACATTTTGCCATCAGAGCATTTGGGGCGACTTGTTTTATATCCGAAATAAGAAGACCTGAGATCCAGTCTCGCTACTGCTCAGCCGGGCCTAACTTGGCACTTTACCGTTAGTTAACATGACATGCTTGTTTAACCGTTTCTACGCGCTGTCTGCATGATTCGTATATCAGTGTGGCTTTTGATGTCACGGAGGTTCCCTGACATCGTCCCTTTAATACCAGACCTATTCCATGTAGCTAGCATAATTGACCAGTGATTAGTCGTATTCGGGGATCCAGAGCGATGACCAATCCGACAAGTCACAAGGCATATGGATTGATTGGCTTTGTTCAATGGCAAGATAACACCCGTGGAAAGCATAAGCGCGGGAGAAACAAGCATCATATCTGACCGAAACAACCTGAAACGCAATTAGTCCTCTAAAAGGTAAGAGCATCGGCGCTGTAGTCAACAACAAAGAACTCGATCTACTAGACCAACTGCCTTGGACCCACCTCGCAGACTTTCAGTCTTAGCTCTAACAGTGGCGATGCAGCCGCGACAAATTGACTTTCCGAGGTAGCGGTCCGGTCCCTCCAGGACCGCACGCCCATATCCGAAGCTTGGTTACAAAGGACTACACAGTCAGCAAATCAGTTGAGCAGCATATTGCAACGGTTATTGGTCGGCTCGAACGTCCGAGCGGCGGGGCACAACGGTACCGAAACTTATTTTGACGCAGACGGTTGACGTGACTTTCCTGTCTGGGTTCAGGTCTGCAGGTGGTCGGTACAAGGATTCGGTGGGGATCTTGGAAGGGTGGGATGGGATGTATCCGTGAGGTGGCTAGGGGGTGGAGTCATGGTACTATCTATCTTTTTGATACTAATTGCTTCTGTGACGAACGCATTTGTTACTGGAAGCTCTATGCGGCGGGCATTGAGGAGGAGAATAGGCTAGGGAAAAACTTGGACCCTGGGTGAGAACATATCGTGGAGCCTTATGTTGAGAGTGGGTTCCAGGTCATGATGTCAAAGGAGAAGAAACAGGGTGAGAATTTCAAATAAGTATCTGTTCTGGTAAGTGGTTCCTTTTCTTTCGTCATTCCCTACCATTTCTATAAGAAACGTGGGAAGAGGGATCGACAGGTCGCCATTCCCTTTTTTGCTGATTGTGACACTGTTGAATTCAGGAACCAAAAATGCATTTGGGATTTTTAGCTCACCGGCTCATGGCTGCGGAAATGTATCCAGGTACCATGGAAATTGAGATTTTTGTTGAACCCCAAGGGAGCAACAGGGAAGCGCCACAACCGACGGGGGGTTTGCAAAGCTTAGACATTGTCTAGATCAATGAGAAACTAATTTTTCACACAAACAACTCAAAAATGAGCAGCGAAAAGGGAAAAAACGGGGGAAAAAAAGAAAAGAAAAAAAGAACGGTGACAAATATGACGTCTCGCAAGTGCGTGCCCGGGGAGGTCTATACCTACATAACTAGGTATACGTACATGTAGCAAATGATGTCGGTACCCGAGCATCAAACGCAAACCCGACTAGACTTGATGCGGACAATCAAAGGGTCCACGGGTGGATCTGAAGCCTTGACTCTGAACCAGCCTTGGAAGGACACGGTAGTACCGACTGTCAAACCATTAACTGGAACCTGCAGAAGAGTTATTGGAACCTGACGGGAAGATCCAGACTATCCCATTACCCGAGACATAAGGGGAAAATAACAGGGGAGGGAAAGGGTGGTATTGTTAAGAGGCTAAGCGAGTTTTGACTGTAACGTATGTACAAAGTACCTAGGCATGGTGGATCGAGAGATCGGCGATGAGATCATCCCGGATTCCGGAGAGATGTTGATTTCAAATATGATAACAGTTATATGATTATATAGGATTATAATAGTGAATGAATATGAATAGAAAAGAATATATCAGTCTAGGTGACAATGCCATGAGACAAACCAAAGTCTAAAATATCCAAATTGAACTGGGTTGAACTTGACTTGTTATAATCGAACAGCCAAAAAGAAACGGATTTCTTTGTTGGATTTGACGGGGAACTGATTTAGGAAGTGCCCCGACCAATCAACATCCAGGAACTTGTCAGTGGAGCATAGACCAGATCAAGCGGGTCGCCGCATCCGGAGACAAAGAAAACAATGACTCTAGTGCCTTGGCCCTTGGGAAATTAGAGAAATTAGGGAAATTAGGGAAATTAGGACGATTTTAGGGCCATTTTAGGGGCATTTTCTTAGTTCGTTTTTTTTTTTTTGAGTTGACACCTCGTTTTTCTTTTTTGCTTTTTTTCTTTTTCTTTTTTTTTTAATTTGGGAGCTACCTAATATCTGAAGGGTACCGTGTCAGTTAGAAGTATAACGAGATTTTCACGTCGTCTCCATAGCAATCTCCATAGTAGTATAGGATGGAAATAAATGTATAACAAAGAAATGCCACTTATCAATTTTTCATGAATTGTTTCTTAATTTTTTTCTTGTTTTTAATTTATGATAATTTCTTTTTTTTTTTATCTCGGTTGGCTCGGTCAAAATATCAAGAGCAATCTGGAGCTATTGTCAAAGAACCAGCCGCTAGACAGGGATTCCGGGGGAAGGAAAAAAAGACCAGACAAAGAATCCTGCGCTTTTTAGGGCTTTTTGGTCCAAACGCTATACTTCGCTTTGTCCTGATCCCTGGTATTCCCCGGTCTTTCAATCATTTCTTATTGGGATTATTTTCCCATTTCCCCTCCCGATTTTGATTCAGTGGGATTTAGTTGGAGTTGGATTCATTCTCTTTGTTGCTCACTTCTAGCACCCTCCTCTTTCTTTCTTGTTATTTCTTAGGGCCCAGTCGCCCCCAAACCTATTCACTTCTGCCTTCTCTTTCAAAGGCTTATGCTTTTTCCCCCTCCCCTTTTACCTTTCCCTTGTGGAACTTCTTTCATTCAAACTTCGCCTTCGAGCCCTTTCATTGAGAGAGAAAAAGTATTAAATAAATGTCTTACGATCGAGTTCTCCCTAACCCTGTTGCTCTACGCTATGAGTCTGCTCAAGTCACTCTGCCTAGACCGAGCAATTTACTCGATCACAAAACCATGAACGAAGAATTGTCTGCCATGGCCATGAGACACCCGGCCGACGGTGGTCCAGTGGGACCTTCAGTCAGATACTCTGATCCTCGATCGGCGGTACATCAGACACATCAGCATATCTCACTAAATGCATCCAAAGAGCCACATGCACATGCACATGCACACAAGATGTCCTCCAATAGCTCCGGCAAACCCGTCGGGCCCATGATCTCAACCAAGGAATTGCCATTGCGCGACAGATCAGATCGATCATCTTCATCTTCCGCCAGCAGTACCAGTCCTATCAAATCACAGAAAGAGAGTGCTATGCAATTTTGCCTCTGTCAACCGGATCCGAAAATTCCCCGGCCTCGTAATGGTGAGTTGATACTGTCCGCACCGTCATCAGAGATTGGCAAGTGGCTTTTTTCGATTGTTTCTTTTTTGGTCTTCGTTAGCCAGATCTGATCTTTCGAATACATGGGACATATCTAATGGTGCAATTTCTAGCTTTTATTCTATATCGTCAGCATTATCAGGCCATGGTGGTCGCTCATAACCCCGGCTTGGCCAATCCCGAGATCTCCAAGATTATTGGAGAACAGTGGCGATCTCTGTCGGAGGATGATAAGAGCAAATGGAAGGCACTTGCAGAGGTAAGACTGGCATCGCTGAAAATGTGATTTTGAACACACTGACAAATCACCCCAGGAGGAAAAAGCTCGGCATCAGCAGCAATACCCTGACTACCGCTACCAGCCTCGGCGGTATGGTCGGGATGGAAGCGCCCGGAGTTCAGCCACAGGAATTGGGCACAACCCATCTGGTTCATCGCACTGTAACAGATGTGGTGGTCGATTGATGAATGCACCCGCTTCCCCCATGACCCCATTCACACCCAGCAGTGGGCCCGGGTATCGACCACCATCAGATTCCTCAGTATCCTCACCGCACCCAAATGCCATGCCACCAAGAAGTGTCCAAGGCCGCGAAAAGGACCCCAATCCCGTCCTAAAGTCGGCAAAGATGGACCACGATCCCCGTTCTCGCCAAAGACACTGGGAGGAACCCAGTGGTCGATCTCCCGATAATAAACGTCGCCGAGTATCCCACGGCTCATTCAAGCCAACTTTACATCCCTCCTACCGGGACCACAGTCCTGGCAGCGCTATTCCCGAGTCACCGCACCCGATGACCCCTTGGAGTGCTCGTCCTGATATGCCGCCACGTCATCTCCCCATGCTCCAACCGCAACGGCCATATCAAAGTGTCCCGGGCCAGCCACACCCGGACCCCAGTCTGAAACTACCACCACTCCAGACCACAACACCGGTGATGACTCCCATGACACCCTATCCACAAGAAGGATCCAGTGTCGAAGCAACGGTCATGACAATCCCCTTCCTCAACAAGATCAAAGTCCTCGCCAAGATCTCCCCACCACTCCTCCCCTCATTCCGAGACGGCATCCCACCAGCCCGCGGCCCCGTCATCGCCGTGGATGGCCAAGACCCGGACCTCGTCCAAATAGCGGTCGAATACCTCAACAACCTCCTAAAAAAGGAAGCAAAGTATAACGTCCGAGTCTTTGACGGACCGGAAATCAAAGCACCCCGCCCCAACTCCGCAGAAGCAGGCCAGATGGGTGACGCAACAGTCGACTACCTCAACACCATCTCAGCCTGGCACCGGATCTCCGACGATGTCGTCAGCTTCGTGAAATCTACCTCAAGAGCCGGCTCCGTCGACGCCCGTTCCATAACAACAGATGAGGAAACCCCCGCCCCAAATCTCTCTCCGCGCACCCTCATCCCCAAAACCGCAAACATGAACATCCACTCCCCAGCCCAGTCAAGCGAGAACGGCTCCGAGACAAGCGCCATCACAACGGGCAGTAACTACGGCGTGCCGATCGCGCTCGTCCCACGCTACCAGCTCACCACGGCTGACGCATTCGCCTGCTCCACGCCGATCGGCGACTCCTACGCGCCGCTCGATCACTGGCAGTGGATGGCGTCACTATGGCGCGCGTGCGTGGGTCCTGATATCACGGTTTACATTCGTGAGTGCAGTAAGGAGGAGCTGGATCGTATGGGTGGGAATCCTGTTGAGGTGCGGTTACAGGATGCTCGCACGGTTGTGTTGAGGAAGGTTGTTGGAAGGGATTTGGAGGAGAAGGCGCTTAAGCGGATGGGTTTTGAGATTGAGGACTTTTTGACTCAGTAAGCTTCAAGATCAAGCTTGGGCCTGTTTGGGGCCTGGGCAGAGAATGGAATTTTAAGTTGGTGCATTGTTCCAAGGAGTTATGGATTCATTGGTTGGGGCGTGTTATAGATTAGATTGTGGTAATTTGATGATGGCTCATCGTTCTTCTAGTGAATAATATTAATAGTTATAACAGTGTAATAAGTGAGGTTAATATAGCCATTAACGACGTTGTCAAATCTGTCAAAAAAGAAAAGGACGTTAGCGTAAGGAGCCAACCCGTGGGCGCTCGGACCCTCTTTGATCCACCCCCAACCCGAGAGGGCGGAGCCGCTTATCAAAAGCGGTCACCATTCTGCCAATATCTCTCTAGATTCCATCTCATCCGTGAGATGTTGATTCTTCTTGCAGGTATTCACCATGTCAGAGCAAGCACAATGGGGCCCAGGCTCCATGGTAAGACCAATACAAATGAACCATGGACCTCCAGGGGTTCCTCCCTTTGTCGGTACCATGTCCACTCCTGAGCCCGATATGAAATGGAAAGACCCAGAGGCGCTGGATGCGCCTCTCGGTCCAGATGTGACAGAGGGACTCGACCTAAGGATGACAGATGAGGCCCTCGAGCCGGGTGTTACAAACGAGTCCTCCGACCTAGAGGTGAAAGATGAGTCTGAACCCTCCGACTCGGAGATGACGGATGAGCCTCTCCACCCCGAGATGACAGATGCGCCCCTCGGCCCAGAGGTGACAGACGAGCCTCTTGAACCCCATAACCTAGAGACAATGGGTACGAATATGGATGGCTATATCCCAGCCGGCGTTTTGGGCAAATTCTCCTCCAAGCCCCGCTACCCAGACTCCGAGATAGCGCTGCTAGAAAAACATGAATGGATCCGAACACGCTCTCTTGTCGACAGCAACAATGTACAGGTTTTCGTACTACCAAATGCACAGCAAAAGAAACCCATTAAAAAAAAGAAAAGAGGTGAAACCGAAAATATTCTCCTAACCCATCTCAAACTCGTCATGTCTATGATCGACAACTCCTCTGAGGCATGGAACGGCTTGGTTGATGCCCATGCTGGCCTACTTGCCAACACCCGGCCCGATAACGAAGAAGAAGAATCCCTGTATTACATATTCAACACGCTGCAAGAACCCACTCTGGACTTGGATCGCCTAACGGATTTGCACTCCCGGAACGCTATGGAGGCATTGCTTGGCGATTCAGTTCGAGGCCTTAAAACACAGCTTCATCCGTTTCAGCGCGAATCTGCTGTTGTGATGGTGCAGCGGGAGGCAGAGCCGGCGCTAGCGCTTGATCCGAGATTTCAGCCTTGGCGGGGTCCGACTGGGTTGGAGTTCTATTATAATAAGGAGTCTGGGGGCATTTTGAGGGACAAGATATTGTATCCTGAGGCCTGTGGAGGTAGGTACTCATATCTTTAGCGCTGGTTTTCCAAATGATCGTTGGACTGTGAATATCTTAGTGAACTATACTGACTATTACTAGGAATTTTGGCAGAGTCCATGGGATGTGGGAAAACCCTCATCAGTCTTGCCGTGATATTGGCTACGCGGGGACATTTCCCCCAAATCCCGGTGGAGTACCAAACACTCGAAAACCCTATCAGGAACAAGACTGGAACATTAATGGAAATGACCGCTGCTGCTGTTGGTCGCTTTTCCCTGCCCTGGAAGGACTTCTTTGATTCGCAGCTGGAAAAGAAAAGGAAAAATTATGATAATTGTAGGAAAGCCTGTATGGCCCAGGGTGGTTCCTACATGATACCGGCGAAACGCGACAATCAAAGGTCTACATCAGGGTACGCTGAGCCAGCGGAACACATCCGTCTCTGCTCTGGTACACTCGTTATTGTCCCGGAAAACTTGATGGACCACTGGGAACGTGAGATCGCTACTCACACCAGCGATCTGAAACTCCTGGTACTGCGAACGAAGGACACAACACCATCAACGGACGAACTTCTGGACTTTGATATTGTGATGTTCTCCAAAGGCCGATGCAGCAAAGAGAAAGCAAACCGCAACAGCCGTGCGCAGAAGTCGGATGCCCCTATTCTCGCTCTTCACTGGTTGCGAGTTATCGTTGATGAAGGGCACAACCTTGCGGGTAGAACAACGGAAATGGTCGACTTTCTAAGAAAGCTGAAATTTGAACGTCGCTGGATGATCTCGGGAACCCCTCTCTCAGAAATGTATGGAGTGGAACTTAGCATTGCTTCACAGGAAGTGGGCACAGACGATACTGAATCGTCACCCGATGATCACGCCGGTTCCATCCCTCAAACCCGCAGAAAGGGGGGGCAATGAAGACCCTGACTTGAGGAAATTGGGCGACATGATTCATAATTTCTTCAAACTCATGCCTTGGGCCAACAATCCAAAAGAATGGGCATGCTACACAAAAACGGTGGGTAAAGATGGGATTTATCGAAAATCTCCATCTCTACGTGCGACCCTCCAGAGTCTTGTTGTGCGACACCGGTACGAAACGGTCAAAAAAGAGATCACTCTTCCACCGCTGTACAACAAAGTGGTGTACCTTGAGCCGACTTTCTACGATAGGCTATATATCAACATGTTCCTCTTTACACTCGCAGTTAACGCCATTACATCTGAACGTGAAGGTCCCGACTATCTGTTTTACGAGAGTGACGAAAAAAACAAGAAAAACAAACATAGACACAAGCTCACTGAGTTGATACAAAACTTACGTCTGGCTGGATTCTGGTGGGCTGGCAATGACAATGTCCAAAGCACTGTCGACATCGCTCTAGAATATCTGGAAGAAAACCAAGAGAAGATGACCGTGGCAGACTTCAACCAATTGCAACAGGGAATCCAGATCGGACGAAAGGCAATGAACTCTCCTGGCTGGAATGGGTTCAAAAAGATGCATGAGCTTGGAGTCTTCGTTCGGCATTTCCCAGAGCATGCTCGTAATATGTGGGCCCTTGATGCCACAGGCACCGACCACGAGCCTCTGCTCATGGGTATGACCCAAGCCCGCCGCGCGCAAGAATTTGTGATGAACCATCTCTGTATGTCTGATCCCGCCGACGGCCTCGCAGGAGAGGGTATCAAAGTTCGTCGGGGGCTAGTTCAACACAGCCAGACAGCTACTCCGAAAAAGAAAGACAAAGACCAAACTTTGAACTTCCATACTCTCCCGGAAACCTCGCCGTTGAAACAAACAAAGCTGGAAGGAGTAGCATCGGCCAAGCTTCGGTACTTGTTAGACCAAGTGCTGAAGTTCGAAAAAACCGAGAAAATCATCATCTTCTATGAACACGACAACGTCGCGTCCTGGGTCGAGCAAGGCCTGGATTTAATAGCAGTCAAATTCCGCACCTACGCCAGTACCGCGAGTATGGGATCTAATGTCAAAACCGAGAGTCTGAGCGAATTCCGCGAAACCGAAGAGGTCCGTGTTCTACTGATGAGTGTCAAGCAAGCCTCGCATGGCCTCCACATCCCCGAAGCCTCACGGATGTACATCGTCAACCCGATTTGGGAACGTAACGTGGAAAGCCAAGCCATCAAACGAGCCCACAGAATCGGCCAGAAAAGACCAGTCTACGTTGAAACCCTCGTCCTAGGCGACACCCTCGAATACCGAATGCTCAACCGCAGCAAAAATATGACCGCCGAGGAGACAAAACACGCGGGAAATAACCCGCTTCAAGATAGTACCATGAGCGACATCATCAAGAATGAGCCCTTTTTGCCCATGCCCGACGAGGCTTCGGCCGGCATGGCTCCTTTGACACATCCACTCGGACTATTTGATCGGCATAAATTGCCGATCCCCGATAAAGAGAAGGTCCGTGCGTCCAAGCCATCGGGGCAGAAACGGCCTCGGGGTTTGGAGTCCGATGCCGACTCCGATTCGACTGGTGTTCAGGGGCCATCTGCCCAGCGGCGACGGATTGGGTTTGCGGAACATGACCAGGTCATGGGCGAGGGTGCTGTGGATGTGGTTCCTGCGCCGCTGCAGCCCGTGCCCGGGTTGAATACGGGGTCTGAGGCTGGGATCCCTGTGTCTGGACCTTCGCAGGATGGCTTTGTGGAGCATGGGATGGTTACTGGGGATGGTGTTAGAGTATCTGGAACATCTGGTCCAGTGCGATTCAGGCCGATGCACTCTGTGGTAGATATGACCGGGGATAGTGTTGAAAGGCCACCCTCCTTGTTTGGGCCGTTCCGGCCATGATATTTCTTTGCACCTTTGCGTTCTAGCGGCATTTCAGATTTTTTATACTATACTCCACACGCATTTAGAAATAATGACAGATTACTTAAGTGAAGAGAAAGAAGAATTTATTCATACACCGAGTATATATGTGGCAACATAGGATAACTAAGTTAGACTAACTAAATATTAGAACATGTAATTCCTCGAAAGATGGCAGAAACATTCCATTAGAGCTAGATAGCTACGAACTGCTGCTAAGAATATGAGTGTCAGCACTAGCCACATGTGTAACAGTTACCCTGAAATGCCCTAAGACTGTGTGATGTAAGTGGGTTAGCCATTTAAACAACCTCCTATCCCTCAGCTACCAGCTCATCAAGATGAGCACTAAGACAATTCATCCCATCAAAGAGATGGAAGAAACCGATAACTGCACCATTCTCGCAGCTAACAATAGGTGCCCCACCGATCCTATCAGAGATAGCTTCGTCCACAACTCCCCGACAAGCCTGGAGATTATATGAATGTCACCGATCAAAAGGAATATCTGGGTATCCATACGTGGGCTTCCGAAACAACTTCCCGTATGATATCAAGCTCACTAAGCCCGAACCCATGCCATTAACCTCAGTCCATGACCCTGACTTGATATGTTTTCCTTGCAATAACATCCGCGGCGGTTCCTCTTGACCAGATAGATCAAGTTGTAGGGTTGCAGTCAGATTCCTCATCGAGCTGTAGAAGGGCGCTTCTGCATGATGATACATAGTTGTGCGACTAGCAACAGTCCCCGGGAGTGATATCCGTTCATAAACACGGTTGTCTCCGTATTCAAGCTCGACCACAGTCCACAAAGGTAGATACACAACCGCACGTACATTAGCTAGCGGCTTCAACGCTTTGAGGAGGGCGATGTTGTCTGCGTCTGTTGGGAATTCCATTCGCCGCAAGTGCAGATGAGGACAAGGGTCTGGTATTTGTGGGTTGGAATACGGTGCCTTTGGTAAGGGCTCGGGGAAAGTTTCGTTAATTCCGATATATATGGCTGGCTTACATCCGATTGTAAGAGGAACTGGGTTTGGTGGGTTATTGGTCTCGATGCATATATACCAACCGGATATCGTGATACTTCTGTATTCGAACTTGGTGTCAATCCACTGGTATTCTTCTTTCGTTGGTAGTCGATATTTGCGGTTAAGGTCGTCCCATAGATTGAAAGGGGCGATGCCATGAATGTGTCTCGCTCCCCAGCCGCCTGGGTTCTGCCATCTTTCAGTCATGATGAAAAAGGTGGGTGGATTTGAAAGAGAGAAATCAAAAGGGAGAAGAGTTGAATGGACTTGAAATGAATCAAGTTGAAGGTTCCGATACTCATTAGGTAGACCTGTGGCTTGTAACCTTAATCGTCGTGCCTCGGTCCTTGACGACGTAAGTCTTTGATAATCTGATCATATGTAATGATGTGCATTCGGGAACTCTTTCCAGGTATCCTTTCAGATATCTTCTTGTAGATATCTTTTTATAGATGTATACGATATACAAAATACGAAATACGAAATACGAAAGCGGTAAACCCCTTGTGCCTGGATCTATGAAGTCAATGATAAGATAAGCTTTTTCTCGCAATCGCACCCCTCACCTGGCGCCTGTCAAGCTTCAATCCTCCAATCTCTCCCAGAATACCGAAAAGAAAGATGAGCAAGCCAGTTCACGAGAAAGCCGTGATAATAGGGATTTCCGGGCCCTCAAGCAGCGGCAAGACAACCCTCGCACGGTTACTACAGCGTGTATTCTGCGGGGTAAATCTTAAGTCGGAAGACTCACCTCTAAACACCTTCATAATCCACGAAGATGATTTCTATTTCCCAGATGATAAGTGCGTATCCCTCTACATTAGCGCTATCCATATACCTACCCCGTCTCAAACGAGACAATCCTCCGTTAATCCAAAAACCAAACCCTGTACTAACACACCCCAGAATCCCCTACACAACAACCGCCTCCGGCGAGAAGATCCAAGACTGGGACACAGCCTCGGCAATCGACATCCCCTTCCTCTCGCAAGCACTACACTACGTGCGCGAAAACGGGACACTCCCACCGCGACTCCGGAGCAAGGAAGACCAAAACGACGTGACAGATTCCGGGGTGTCAGACGAGGTCGTACAGGAGTTGAGGGATATTGTCGGTTCCCGGCTACGGAATGTATTAGCAGATAAAAACACCGAGAGCCCGACTATTGCGTTCCTAGAGGGATTTTTACTATTTGCGCCTCCCGAGCAGGAACAACACGTCCTCCGTTCCGTCCATGACGCTATAAATCTCCCTCTCTTCCTTCCTGCGGCGTATGAGCTTGTCAAGGCTAGACGCGAGGGGAGGAGTGGGTATGTGACTGTTGGACCGGCGCCGGAACCGCCGGTGCAGAGTACTGAAGATGGGGGAGATGGTGGGGATGGAAAGACGGAGACGGATATTGATCTTGAAGCTGAGGATGATCGGCCACCGCAGAATTTCTGGGTCGACCCGCCTGGATATGTGGATGATGTTGTTTGGCCGCGGTATGTGACGGATCATGCTTGGTTGTTGATTGCCGAGGATGGGGATGAGGATCAGAAAGATGGGAGTCAGGCTCTAGCGGAGGCTGAGCTTGTTCGGAGGATTGGGGATGGGACTAGGGCTAGGACTGATGTTGGAGTTGAGGTTGCACCGGGGTGTGGGAGTGCAGGGATGGATGTTGTTTTGAGATGGGCTGTTGAGTTGATTTTGGGGTATTATTTGGATCGGATGGGGGTATAGAAGTATAGATATGGCTTAAATGGGCTATAAGTGTGTATATAGTGGCTTAAACAATATGTCTCCGTCTTTTATTTTGGCTATCTGCTAACTGTAGCGATTGTTGTACAGTTACCTACTTCTGCAATTCTCTCCAGAACTATACTAAGCCAGTATGCCTCACTAGAAACCAACATTATGAACTCCAAAGCAAGAGATAATAGAAAGAATAAGTAGGTCAACGGCTTAATTAATATATTTTTTTCCCTTTATGTTATCTGCTAACTACAGCAATGGTTGCGTCTCATTCTGCAATTCCTCATTCATATCCCAGTACTCTCCTTCGTAACGATACTAAGCAATCCCATTTCCCAAACATTACTCCCGCGCAATTGGCCCTCGCCATCCAAGGAGGTAATCGATACGGTCTCTCAGGGTCATTGCGGTGATTTCGGCAGGTGTGGTGTTGACAGACGGCTGAACTTCGAATCGAATCGGCCCAGGCTGAAAATTGAACGCCATCAAGACAGTTTCCAACTCCTTCTCCAGGTCCGCATTGGTAAAATTCCCCGCGTAGTCCACTGGGTCATAGACATACACTTCCTTTTCCGGGCACGAAGTGGGGAGAACACGGGGGTCAAGACGGATCTCATGGTTCAGCAGTAAGTACGACCAGTAGATGGTGTGAACAGATGCCAAGAAACTAAGCAGTTGGAAGACGAACTTGATTAGGGTCCACAATCCGACAGCACGGCCTGGCTTCTTTGGTTCGGCAACTGGAGTCCCCGCAGCAGTCTGTGTATTTGTAGACTTGGAAGCTGGTTTGCCAAACAGAGGCCCATCGATCTTTGGCTTGTGGTTGAGAAGAGCTCCGCGTTGGCGATATGGAGCTGGGGTTGCCATAACTGGGGGCTTAAAATCGAAAGGCACTCCCAGTTGGCCACGTGAAAATTGGCTCCCAATATCAACATCAACCTTCTGGCGCTTCGGAGAGATCACTTCATGCTTGGGGCTAAAGATGGCGTAATCCTCTTGGAGAATAGTTTCAACGTCACGGTGGCTGAGCGTGGTCTTAATCCATGGCAGCCAGGTTACGGCCTTTGCTCGCGGCAGCGTGATTTCCCACGACACCGTGAACATTTCCAGAGCTTGGGGAATGCTGATGACATTGATGTGTGAGATTCCCATTCCATCTAGCGCTGTTCGCAGCCGAACCGAGTTTGTCAGAGGCTTTTTTGCTGCAAAAGCGGCGTTGAATTCGCCGTCTGGACCGCCATGCACAAAGAGGTCGAATTTGCACTTCTCGGCCCAGAAGTTGTGATTGATGAGGTCAATGGAGCAAACAGCATTGTATTTAATCAGATAAGACGATGCATCGCTGGCGTCTGCCACCTCGGCTCGTATTACCGTGTTGACTTTGTGGTCCTTGAGTTGTCCGTAGTTTTCTGTGTTGCACTTACGGAACGGAATCACGAGGCATTTTCCACCGTGAAACTGGGCCATCAAGCAGCTTTCCACAAGGGTATGTCGTTTGAATGACGAAGTCATGAACTCCATTCCCTGACCCGGAGGTGTTCGGAAGTAGAGATAACCAGACTCGAATTGGGTGAGTCGAGGTAGTCCATTCACAATCAACTCCCACCATTCCCTCGATTTTCCTTTCTGCAGTCTGACCTTGAGCGCAATCGCGATTTGGTACGTCGCAGAGTAGACGTTGGAAGGGGTACACACATAAAGAATGCCATTGTTCAAGATGAGTTTAGGCTTGTTGTGCTCTTTGTCAATTTCCGCAGACGTCGGGGACAGAGGGAGTCCATTAAACCCAGAGCACGAGAAAAATGATGGTGATGCAATGGATTCAAGCGAGAGAAGCAGGTCCTCTTTTTCTTTGTCCGAATCTTCGGTATCAGAGAGGCTTCCGTTACACCCACGAATAGAAAGTGTATCATAATCCCGATGGAGCAAGTTGGCTTCAGTGAGTGGCTCTGTACCGCTCAGGTCAACCTTGCTGAGAGAAGTATCATCAGGTTCAGGAACATTGTGAGTCGTCACTCCCTTGCCGTTTAGCAAAGGATGCTCGGATGTAATGATCGGGGAAACTGGCACAGAGTCTTGAGACAAGAGGATATTCTCAGACGTGACGTTGATTTCCTCTAAGCTGGAAATGAAGCTGCTGATTTTCTCGATGATGGGGCTATTTCCCTGGGACACAGGCTCCAGTTCCGCCGGCGGGTCGATCTTGGTCATCATAAGTTTGTGCCGGGTGCATTGGTCCTCATCGTCAGGAGCGATTGAGTCAGGTAGAGAAGCAGCCTTGGCGGATCTCTTACGAGGGTTGGAGGAGTGCTGGCTACCCAAACTGTCGACCTGGCTCTTGCGAGGGTCAGAAGAGGTTGAGCCACCCGAGCTATCAACCTTGGTGTACATCCCAGAGATATCCACAGGAGGCCGAGAGACACCCTGAGGATCATCATGAACAACAACACTCCCAGAGTCAGGAACAGAGTCATTCTTGGCAGGGTATTTCTCGGTCTCGTCGCTATGTTCCAAGCTATGTTCCAAGCCATGCCGGCAATCCTCTTTCTCGGGCGGAGTGTCGGCATCATAGTGGGCGTAGTCAGGCTTCAACCGGATGACCCAAGACGGGATCTTCACGGTGGTTGGTGACTGAACGTTGAGGATGGGTAAATTGAGGTTGGGATGGCCGCAGGTTTGTAGCTTAATTTAGATGACAGTCAGTACTGAGACCCAAAGAGAAGACTTGAGGCCTGGTTTTTTCAGTGTTACCTCCATGGCGATTGTGATGGACACTGGTTCTTCTGGAACGCCGCTCCAGTCGCACCACAAATCGAGGTTGCTGAGAGGGCTATCGTTAGGGTCCACCGTGGTTTCCATGATGGGCTCCATGAGATGAAATGAAGACGGGGAAATGAAAAAAGAGAAACTGATAGAAGAGAGGAAAGATGGAGATGTAAAACAAAAGGAGTAGAGAGTAGAAGAGAAGTTGAGGAATCTGGAAGGTAGCAAACAACAGGAAGGTACGTTTAGATATCAAGCATCCTCTAGACGGTGTATCCTATACATCTGAAAAAACACTGGGGTGTTCTTACGTATAAAGTCCCTAATATATTAACTTAGGCCAAGATCATTAGTCTTACACTGTCAAAGAAAAGAAGCCGATTATTCTTGTGAATCGTCAATTAAAAAAGGAAGAGAAGCAGCACTTGCAAGTAGCCAGTGATACTGCTTTAAAAAAAGGGCCTGTATATACAAGAAGGGCTTAAGAATAATCTCACTTTTCTCCCAATCCCATGAAAGAAAGACCTCCCCCTTTTATATCCGCCAGCGCCTGTATAAAAAAAAAAGAAACCCTTTAGCCACCCAGTTAAAGCATCAAGCATAAAAAAAGAAAATAATGAAACACTCCTCCCAGTCTATCAAGACAGAAGAAAGAAAAAAAAAAAGAGAAGATAAACATAAAGCGAGAACGTCGAGGACGTCAAGCAAATCATTGGGGCGTTCCATTCGAGGAGTCGGGGTGATCAAAGGTTGCCGGGCCGGCCACGGAGCCAAATCGATCGCCTTCGTTGACCATTTGAGATGGAAGAATAGGGGTATTCGCCTGAGGGGTTTGGTCGAAATAACCTCGCGCGGATCCATTAGTCCCTTGGGGATAGTCGCGATTCCGCTGTAGAGGAGGAAGTATGGCCGAGCTAGGGGGTATCCGGACCGGGCATATCCCTGAGCTATCATCGCTCCAGTCGAATCCGGGGTCTGTCTCGGGTCCAAAATCCTTAGCTAGGTGTTCTATTCCACTCTCACTGGTTCGCAGAGGGGTGCCGTACAGGAGTGCCAGGCTGGTTCATCGCCATCAGTTGCCCCACAGCGGCCTGCTGCTGCTGGCTGGATCGGCTTTGACCGGTAGGATCGGGAATCTGAGACATGGGGGCTGATCCCTGCATGCCCGTTGGTGCTTGCATGCCCGCTGAGGCTTGCATGCCTGGGTACATCTATCCACCGGGGTCAGCTCAAAGCACTTCCAAAACCTGCAAAAAGGGGGGGGTTGAGAATACGAACCGCTGCATAGTCCGGCACCACCTGCCCTGTAGAGTAAGTCTGCATGGCGGCAGGTGTTTGGTAGGTTGCTGGCTGGCCAGCATACATGGCAGCTGTTGGCTGGCTATATGGATCCATTTGACGGGCCATTCGACCATCCACATCGTAGATGCCCTGTTGCCTGCCATAATCGATCGAGGTACGATGACGCTTGACCGGTGGCTGCTGGCCGTAGTAACCATAATCTCGGGCTGCGGGTGGATAACCTCCATAGCTAGATGATGGAGGAATCTGCACCGCCTGGCGCTCTGGAGATCGAGTAGGGACTGGCTGATGGAACTCGTCCGGTCGTGTGGTTCGTTTCCTGCGGTTGTTAACTACACAGATTCACATTCCCGTGGGTTCATGGCACGTACAACATGGTCCGAGGCTCCTTCCGAATGCGCAACTTCACACCTTGATCCGCAAATGATCGGGAAAGGTGGGTTGACTCCATCATTCCCGGGAAGCTCTTGGGAGGGGAGACTGCAAGCTTGTCAGAACCCAACTATGCCAGCTCTCTCCGAGACATAGATTCTTACCTGTGAACCGTTCTGAGATAACGGTCTTCAAATAGGAGACACGGTCCCTGTTGGCTCTTTGTTAGCTATTGAATTCCAGACTAGGCTCCCGACCGTGCTACTCACTTCCGCATCTCGAACAAGGTAAACTTTAGGCGAAACTCGCCCTCAATCTTCACGGAGAGATCTCCAAAGACGAAAAACCCCCCATCTACAAAAGCCCGTCAGTGAACACGCTCCCCCACTCCAAGACCAGCCAGAACTAACCGCTGTTGTCCACATCCTTCAACCGGTGAAGTGACGAAACTAGGGTTCCTGCTAACGCAGTCGACGGTGCGACGGGTACAGGACGCTCTTCTGTTGCATCGTACAGACTGCAGCACATGAAATAGTAAGGGCTTTGCAGGTAATGCCTACGCCAAAGTCAGCCACGTGCGCAAAGCCACGGTGAATGGCACACTTACTGTGCGAGGTAGGTACCCTCCTCTCGCACCCGGAGCTGGACGATCGGGGGCGGATCGATAGGTTTGCGCTCTGCAGGCGCCATTAGATCCGGTTCCTTTTCTGTCAGTTCCGCGCTTCCCCGCTTCACGGGACTAGCTAGGAACAAGAGAGAGAGAGAAAGAGAAAGGGAGCTTCCACATACCTTTTTCCTTGCCCCCCGCCACGCGGGCCCGATTGGGCTGCTGGCGAATGATCAGGTCAAAGTCAGAACTGGTGTTGTTCAACATTGTCAGTGGGATTCCCTGGATGACCGCGTAAGAGTTGCGACCCTGTCAAAGTAGACACGGGAAGAACGACTCACCCCTGAGCTTCGCGCGAGAGAGAGGCGTCGGAGAATGTCGCACTCATCAAGACGAAGAGTCACAGACAACCGGGGGAAAGGTGGAGAGAACCAGCCCAAATTTGAGGTTGCTTTTGAGAAGACAGCGAACCAGCAAGATACGAAGGGTCGATCCTCGGGAATACAAAGACCAGGTATAAGTGATCTGTGGTTTACAAAGTAAAGAGTGGGAAAGGGAAGGAATGGGTCTTTGGACCGAAAGAAATCCAGTCAAGAGAAGATAAGGACAGAAGAGAGAACCCTGGACGAGTCACGATGTCGTCGGAGAGGGGTGGCAGCTGTAGTGGGGTAATGATTTTTTTTTCTGTTTCCTCGGGTTTCAACCATGGAAGACAAGACAAAATGAAGGACAAATTGCAGAGAATTAGAGAGAGTGTTGGAGAGATGGATGTGTCGAAAGTGACGAAAACGGAGTGGTGTCGTCAGTTTGCAAGCGGAAAGAGCCAACCGAGCACGGTTCCAGACAAAAACCTTAAGCGGATCTCTGGTATAACGGCTGATAAAATGTAGATATTCCGGCCGAGATTTTGTATCTAAAAAGAAATATTATTATCAATAAATTGGGGGAAAGGAAAAAAAAAAAAAAAAAAAAAAGGATTCAAATTCAGAAGAAGAAGAAAAAAGAAAAAAAGCAGAAAATCAATTGGATCACAGGCTTCCAATTCTCGTAGTCTTGAACAAATCAGATTCCAGAATCCCACAAAAAAAAAAAAGGGAAGGGGAAAAAAAAGAAAAGAAAAAAAAAAATTTAACTAACCCAATGAATTATCCAGGATTTTTATAAAAAAGAGAGAAATCAGAAAGAAAAAAAAAAAGGACCAAAATAGAAGAAATCTAAAAGAGATCCTCCAATTCTACCACAGTAGCAATCTCTTCAAAAACGAGAGCAGCTGAGGTGGATCAAGGCCAAGTTGGTGACTGCCTTGGGAAAAGAAAAAAAAAGAGAAATTAAAACCGTAGACGGAAAAAAAGTGGAAATAGGTTCAGCTACCCACGGTTGAGGGGGCGAATGGTGATCCGGATGTGCAGTAAACTTCTGGTTCTGACTTTCTGGTTTTTCTCGTTGGCCCGAAAGAAACGGCGAACCGCTAGTCCGCTAGTCCGCGTCTGTTTCTCTTTCCCAAGGTTGATCGTAAAAAAACCCACAAGGTTGGCGCCGGTTATGCAGGTGATCAGACCCGGTTTTCTTGTCGTAAATGTGTTGGTCTAAACGCCAGGTGGACTCGGGCCCTGGTCCGGCGTCTAAGCATTCCAGTCAAAAGTGGAGATATGCACGATCAAGCCGCATCGCCTTATGTCCGGGGGTTGTTCCTGGGTCTCCACACTCGATCTCGATCTTGTAATCATTAGCTTGATTGTTCAACCGGGATCAAAACGGTTCCTTTTTTGAAGCTCAAGGATTTCCAGGCAAGGGCGGATATAACGGCCGCCTGTCAATGAAAGTTCCAACCATGGTTCCAGCCATGGAAGGTTGGGTTCCTTATGTCATCCCGAACCAAAGAATGCCTGAAGGCCTTAGACCTCCCACACTCGGTTGGGCACCTCCTCTCCCCCAAACAAACAAAAAAAAAATTCGAAGAGACAATACCTTTTTTTTTTCTTGATCCCCTGAAAGCTTCTTGCTGTGATAAATCCGATATTCGAATATTGCGCGTGGATTCTTCAATTTCAGGGATGCGTGTGCCACGCGACGAAGGTCGGAGCCCAAAATGAAAAGGATCCAAAGGACTCAGCGCACACGCATTCGAAGGCCGAGGTCTGGCGCAGTCACAGGTTGACAGAATGAGCGAGAATACTGATCTCCACAGACACGATCGAGTGCAGGGGCACGTAAAATCCCAGGAGCGCTGTTATTCCGATCCGAGACGACGAAGCGACACATACCGAGTCATGATGCGACAGTGGGAAACAAGAAAGGGAAGAAAAAGTTGAGTTGAGGAAAAACGATAAGGAAAAACCAGGCAGCGCAGAGAATTGGACAAGGCGTTTAAGGGGGGAGATGCAACCACGAACAACGCACCACTGCAACGCAGAACTTTCCTCGTGACGCGTCACATTTCGAAGACATGCAGACCCAAGATCCCATGCAAGCTACTGTATGTTGACTGCAGTCGGGTGCCAGCGTTGACGCTGGTTGGTTCCATCGGCCGGAAATCCCTCGATCAAGCTATGGGGCCGGGGCAACATGCATCAGCCAACGAAAAGGAAAAAAAACCACACCAATACCGAAGACCTGTTTGGAGCAGTCCTGCAGCTTGCAGATCGGGCGTTCGTCATGATAATAAAAACAAAATCGGTACTTTCTAGTATGGACTACGGGGGCTGCTTTGCGCCACACTCGCTGACCCTCGATTTGCGGCTGAGGATGTACGGTACTTTTCCCCCTCCTGTTCAGTCACCTTCCAGATAGGTTTGGCTGCATCGGCAGTGCAGAGGTGGGACCCGCATCCAAGGCATTGCTGCATCTTTCCGTCTTTCCGAGGAACTTGCATTTCACACTCCTTCAGCATTAGGGGCCGCTTGAGCTCTTCGTTATCAGGTTCTTTTCTTGGCAGAATTCGCAAAAAGAAAAAAAAAAAACACACACGCACACACACACACATCCAAAATCTGAACTTGCATGCAGATATTCTGGGGTCCGGGTTTGGAGAGGTAACATGGCGATGATCGTCGCTTGTCAACATGTGATACGGAGGGCTGCAGGTGCAGTTGACTATGACAAGCATTCCTGTCACGGTTCACGACCTATCTCCACATAATGGGAGCTATGATAGCAGCGATCATATGTAAGGGTGAGGATAGCAGGAATCAATTTCGATCAGACGCCGATCAGCCTGACAAAAGTCCGGCCCCAATATTCAATCCTGCAGCGATAGTGATACTATCGTTATTGGCAAGTGACTGGAGCAGATGGGACCCGCTGAGTGGGGGTTTCCGGCGCCAATACCCAGCTGCCAGAAAACAACATCTGCGATTCGCTGACTGACCTCGGGATAAGTACAGGCTGACAAAAAGGGGGGGATCGAATAAGGAAAAGAGAAAAAAAAAAGTAAAAGTGAGGGATGAAAGGCGGGAAAACACACTCAGGGTATGCGCATTGTTTGATGGTTTGACCTGGTCTGAGCTGTGGTTCTTATCCATCGCATTATGCCCGGGCGACAAGTTCCTAGGAAAGCAGTTTATAGGCCTGAAAAACTCACAGCCCTAGATGCACATCATTATGTGACAAGCAAGCCCAAGCGCTAGGAGCACGACCTGTCACTTCTATTTGACTTCCGGGATCTGGCCCCAGCGCCAGGACAGAAGTCCCAAGTCTTGGTTCTTGATCTTGGTCATGGCGGGGGAGAAAGCCACCATTGCCTCTGTTGGAGAGTCATGATTCAGTTTGTGGAAACTAGCATGACTCGTCCAGATATTGGACGGAATAATTGAGCGAAAGGTGGGTGTGATACATGTGCTAACAAGTAGAGACAAGAAGAAAGAGAAGAAGAAAAGAAAGTTCCGAGTGCGAAAAACGAAAAATTAAAAAGTGACCGCCAAAAAGGAAGCGAATTTTTTCGAATTTTTTTCTCCCAATTTAAAAGTACAGCGCACACCCTGGCCGAAATCCACCGCGGCCCCGATTGGAAAAAAAAAAAAAAACTGGGAACTTGTTAGTGTCCGGGATGTTCTACTGACTACGGTAAATAATAGGAAGGAAGCTCAAAAGGGAGCCCCGTGGAGAACAATCCCCCCCAAAAAGGCCAATTAATAGAACCCCTGTTCGGCACTTGAACACACCAAGTCGCCGAAGGAAAAGGAAAGAAGGGGGGCCGCTGATGGAGCACTGCTGAGGAGGGTACTTACTCCGTAGACGGGGCGGGATAGGGAGATTTTTAGACTCATGGAGAACCGGCAAGGAATTTATTAGGGGGTTAACTTGGCGAATTGCGCCAGTCAAAACTAAAATCCAATCCAAGGGCGCATATCTGACAGCGGCAATCTCCATTGAGAACCAGTGGTTAGGAGCTGTTAGGTGGGCGCTACTATGTTTATGCTTAAATGTTGGCCCTGTGATGGTTCCATGGTGGTTTGGGGCCCGTTCCATGGTTGTGCTCCCTCCCTGACAGCTGCCCGGTCCGTGTTGGCACCATGACCGCCGATCTTTTGTCGATCGGAGCTTTGTCGGGACTACTATAGATTAAATGTTTACTCCGTACTATATTATTATTGTACTAGTACTCCAGAAGAGGTAGGATCCTGTATATCCTTTCTGATCTAGTGATCCTTCAAGATGCTAGTTGGTCCACGGGTATTACTCGCACTCCGTATCTGGTAAGCTGAGGTCTGGACCGTTCACGGGTATCCCCAATTCTCACCTTCCTAAAACGGGTTGGTCTGAAATCCTCCCGTTGTAGAATACCCGATAGACTTATGCATGATTGTGACTATCATGATTATTGCTCGATAGTTCTGTGTATGCTCAGTCGCCTAAGCCCATTGTAGTTCTACTGCAAGGATTATACGAAGTATTTCGTACTTATGTTGGATATGCAGCAAAGCCCCTGGTGGAACACATCAGATAACCGCAGATCAACCCCAGCTATCGAGATCTAGTATGACGCTTTGTCCTTCGTATTCGGCTTGGACTACAATTGGTTATTGGGTCTAGACAAAAAAAAAATATTATTGTTGATCTTCTTGCTCCAGTTTCGGCACCTTATCTAACAATCCCTCCTATTTTCGACATTTTCAACATGTCCTGCGCGACATGACATCATTCATGGATATATCATATGCAAGGCACGGATCTACTCCATATTTACACTAGAGCAAAGAGCTACCCAGTAATTGATACATTGACATAAGATATCCTAATCACACACTGTACTCATTCGTCGCAACTAGATAGAAAGAGAAAAGAAACACCCAAGCAAAAAAACTCCCAGACACCCCCATCCCTGCTCCGTGCTGGATGAAATCACTGAAAAAGCGACTAGTAGTAAATGGACAAAAGAGGATCGACGAGTGCCGCATAACACTCCTGTCGCCCCTGGACACCCACTTAGCGTAAGATAGCCTTTGAACAAGAAAAAGAAAAATGGAGAAAAAATATTAAATCAAACGGCGGGACAATGCAGTTCCCGGGGACACGTGAAAGAAGAGAGAAGGGAGAATAAAGGAATCAGAAATTTCGTTAAAACAAACGCCCTGTCCACATGCGTAACTTGCTTTGCAGGCAAAAAAAAAAGCCTCCACGAATCATGAGCTTCACGACTATCATGTCTGCATCACGACATCCCCATCGACTTCGTACTCGGCGTCGATCTCTCCATCCGCATCCACGTCTGCATCTGCGTCTGAATCTGCGTCGGTGCCATTGGGATTGGCCCCGGCCTGTTGACCCTCGCCTTTGCCTGGTGACTTGGAAGCAGACCCTGGCTCAGCGGGAACCACAACGTGAACTTTCTCGACCAAAGCCTTCCGGTTGACTGATCGCGGTGTCTTAGGGTTGTCGTTAGATCGACGAGAGATTGCTGTTCCAGGTGATCGCGAGATGGAGTTGTTCTTCTTCTCGGGGGTCCTGGGCGCTTCTGTGTCCTTGTCCTCGGAGGACTCGAGCTCGGCAGTATCAACGCCATTGGTCTTGATAGGTTCCGTAGCGTCAGCATTCCCATTAACATGCTCTGGTTCTTTTTCGCTCATGTCTGCAGCTCCTTTGGGTGCAGGAGCCACGTTTTCAGCATCCTCATCAACGACAGCTTCTTCCTCAATAACTTCGCTCTGCTCCAGTTCAGAGCCGTTGGGCTTGCTAGGTGTTGCTTCGGCTGCGGGCGAGTCCGTGAGGATAGAGCTTCTCCCACGACGAATGCTACCTCCAGGAGTGACCGTTGCCAGCCCGGATGGTCGTCGAGGTCTGCCGCGACCGTTGCCGGTAGTACGGGGAGCTGTGGGTGTCGTTGTCATGTTATTGAGTTTAGTACTACCAGATGGGCGACCAGGTCTGCGTTTAGGGGGTGCTGCAGGAGGCACAGGAGGCCAAAGTTCAAACCGGGAGGGTGGGATTCCAGCGGCAGGGTTGGGGATTGCAAGCGGTTCAGAGTTGCCCGCTGTAGAATGGTGGGGGCCATTAGGCCGCAGAGCCAATGTGGAAGGTGGTCCAGCCGAGTCTGCGAGAGTGTCTCGATCCGAGCCATTCACCATTCGGACATTGCCCTCATAGTCAGTCGCTCTTGTCTCGGTCTCATCTTCGTCTTCATCTGGGTCATCTCGGGGGGGCGACGGTGTGTATGGGAGCACGATCGAAATGAGACTGGTTGCTACGACCCATAATGTAAGGTGTCCAGAGAAGCGCATCTGGATTGAGCTGGACATAACCCTTGCTTTCCCAACCACTGATGACCTCATTGTAATATTTGTGATCGAGACGGATGGCGTACGTCTTGGTAATGGGATCCCGCACGAGAGCTCGAAGTCCTTCCAGGGCAGATACAATATCATCTGCTGTCATTCCAGTGCGATCAGACAGATCTGCAATGCTGATAGGCGTCTTCAGATCACGAAGTTGGTATGACAAAATCAATCGCCAGTAGTTCCGGTATGACACCAGACCCATGTCAGAGAGCGGCTTTTCGGGCGATCCATTTTTGCCTTCGATGCGGGTAAGGAGGTATGAGAAATCGATGAGGAGGTTTCCGTAGCCTTTGCGTTGGTGGATGGGTAGGGTAAGAATGCAGGAAACGTTGTTCGCTGAGCTTGGACGTTTTTCTTTACTGAAGTAGCCAACGAAATGGCAGCCCAGATCGTCGTACTCAGTCATGACATAGAATAAGAATGGCTCAACGTCGTAATAAAGAGTCTTGGAACCAAGGAAAAGCTTTGCAAGAAGGCAAAGGTTTTGGCAGTACACCGGGTTCTTGCGCCCATCAACTTCGAAGATTGAGATGGATCGATCACGATAGATCTCATCACCGGGGGGATGTTTCGCAGGACACTTGAGTTTATGGCGCCAGGCGACGAAGTCCGAGTTCATGTATTTGAGACAGAACTCGCAAATGTACAGAACACGGTTCCGGCTGTACTCCTCTGGGTAAGGCGCTGCATACCAGGTTTCGATCTCGTAGCCACCGAAGTTGATAGATTTGATCTTTGAAGGAGGGCCAGAGACCTTTTGTGATGCATGCGCAGTGGCTTCGCCATTGAGTTCTGCTTCCTTCACTTTCTGTTGCCATTCCTCTTCGGCTTTCAGACGTGCCTGTTCGAATCGGTCGCGGTCAAATTGTGTGGGGAGTGTCCTGGATGTATCTTGTTCGGTTTCGGACAGAATGCCTCCATATGGTTTTGATTTGGCGTCGTCGGTCTCACGGTCGAACAAAGTCATGGAGTTGTAGGATATAGGGGGAAGGGGAACGAAATGTGCCTGGGGTTCTGGGGCCACAGGTGGCGGCTTTGGTGCTTTCTTCTTCTTGCGTCCAGGGCGGATTTGAGAGCCTGTTATTTTAGACAGTTTTGCTTCATCCAGCCGGAACCCAATAATCAATTTGCCAAATTGCCTAGTTACCACGCGGCAGTGCTCTCGGTCCACTGCACGAGTGCGTCGCACGCGTACAGAACGTGTCCGAGCAGGAGAGTGGACATCATCACCAGTGGGATCCCCGCCCTCCAAAGCCGCATCATTCAACGGGTGATCAGAGCGGAAAGAAGTTTGTCGAAGTCTTTTGCGAAGCACAGGTGTGTGTTCTTCGGCCTCGATTGACGAGGCCTTTCGCTTGCGTAGCGACCGCGAGCTATTGAGCATCTCGTCGTCGACGCCTGTGTTGAAGATAGAATGGAATCCCTCGTCGTGTGTGCCAGCGTGTGCGGGTAAAAGCTCTTTGGGAAGGGCTGAGGCTCCGAGTCCAGTTTCTGCCGCTGGATTTGTTATCGTGTCGGGCTCTAGTTTGTTTTGGACACAGCTAGGACACCTCCATGGGTCTGGATGTTGCGATGTTAGTGCGTGTGATACGATACATCAAAGAGGTAAAAGGTGATGAGACAGAAGTCAATGAGCATATGTTTGCGTACCTTCCGTTTCATCGTATGCCTCTTGTTCGCGCGCGCATTGCCGATGAGCTGTTGGGATGTCGAGTCAGCGAATAGGCCGACATAATCAGGTAAAGGACAAACGGGGCGACACGTACAGTGATCACCACATACAACACAAGTGAGCCATTCCTCAAAATCTTCACTTGGATCGTGTTCCTCGTCTTGACTGCAAACCCTATTGGTCCGTTGTTAGTACCTTAACTTCCTAATTCTGCGCTCACACCTGCATCGAGCCCTTCCACTTACAAGCAGTTTGAGCCACTACGGATGTCCGTTTCGACATCCTCGCCGCCATTGCTCTCAGCTTCCCATTCCTCGGCCTCTGACTCGTGGTCACTTGATTCGGGTTCTGATGCGTCACGGTCATTTGCCTCAAACCCCGGATCGGCATCCGCGTCGGCTGTCTCAGACTCCGCGTAGTCTTCTTCGGAACCCGCGTCGTCGTCAGGTAGTTTGACAGCTCCAACAGGTTCAGCCTCATCATTATCGTCATCGTCCTCTTCTCCGTTCAACCCATTGACGCTTGAGTTGTTTCCATCCGCACCTTCCTCCGGGCCATCCTCATCAACTTCTCCGGTATATGCTCGGTGAACGGCATCTTGAAGTTGCTGATCCATTTCATACAAGTCGGTTTCTTCTTCGCCCTCCGCATCTAGGTCGCTATCGGTCGGGTCCACAGGCGGGTCGAGTTTGCCCGGTTCATCGTTTGCTGGCGGCACTGTCGCCGCCATAGTGAAAGTTACCGCCACCGCCAGGTTGAGCACAGCAGTGCTTATTGTATGCGCTCAGGCTGACTGAAATATCCTTTTCGTGAAAGAAGCTTAAATCGATTCGGTTACAGAAGCACCCCGCTGACGTCGGCGCTGATCCGGGGGTGCATCTGGATCAAAAACGGATTCGAGGCTGATTGAAATAGTTCCGAAGATTCATATGAACACAAATATCATTCGGGATTGACGCTCAAAGTCTCCAGGCGCAAAGTTGAAGCTAAACAAACAAGAGGTGTCAGTCCGCCGCTGGAGAGACTAGGCATCGCACGCGCGTCGCAAAACAGAGGAAACTCACCCCAAGAGAAACCAGTGCAATCTTTAATTGAAAAGCGTACCAGACGCGTCGAAGGACAGTCCGTACACCGAGGCCTGTCTCTTTTACAATCGAATGCGATCTGCAACGGCCTTCACGCCCCTTGTCCTGTGAGTGTCGTTGCAGCGTGCTGAGTCAGCGGAGGCTAAACCATTTTGGGTGGGGGAGACCTCAAGCCCGTCGCTGTAGGAAGAGACACTCCCCTCCACACTCTCCGCGATCGATCTACTCTCGTCAGTCTGTAAAAGGCTTTACGGCTCTTGATTCTAATTTGACCCCTTTTTCCGATTACCTACATACTCATACAACCGCACGCCATGGGTGTCCCCTTCGAGGCCCTGCTTCCCTATGGGATTATCATGACCGTACGTCCCATTGGTCAATGCCTTCTAGGACTATAGCTCACCAATTACTACAGATGTTTGGTGTGACTGGCTACGGTCTTCACTACGTCAAGCGCTTTGCCAACGATGGCAAGAAGGCGCGCTGGAACCAGGACCTCTGGGATAGAGTAAGTTGTTCCATCCTTGTCGGCTGCGGTCGGAACTTGGTTAAAGCACATTGGCTAACAATTTTACAGCAAAGTGAGTGATTACTAGCTTATCGGCCAACGGAAAAGCGTCTGAGAGGAATTATATGAGACTAACCACAACCAACAATAGTGATGGAGAGAGATCAGCGCATCACAGGGTCATTCCGCGGGCAGTCCAGCAACCACAAAGCGCCCACCGGATTCGAAGTCAGCAACCCATGGAAGGTACGAATAACAAATCCCGTGTCCGTTGATTCCCAGTTTCGTGCAGAAATGCTTACCCGAGACATAGATCGAGAATCGGATCTACTAGTTTCAAAAATTGCAACCTCTTTTCCTTTACGTTCAACGTCTGCGCCTTTCTTACTTTGAGACCATACATATCCACTACAAGTTCTCTAGAAACGTTGTACCATATCATTTATTCTCTCGGATTTCCTTAGTAGTTCGCTCAATCTACTTGAGCTCCGAGGTCATCCCCCGAATACCTTGGATCTCACTTTGACGAAGGTGCATATCGAAATACTTGGCCAGAGCCTTGACACGGTCCTCTTCAGTCTCCAGGACCTGCAAGATCTCCGTTTGCCCGCGCAATCTCTCCTTCACATCCTTGCCTGACATGACGCACTGCCCAATGATCTCTGTTCCAGTTTGATTCAAAATCATTCGCATGCAGACAAAGACCTGGGTGAACCAGCTAGTCCGGCTCTGGCTGACGGAGAAGTTCATGACACCGAAATCCTGTGGGAGGAACTCCGCCTCGGAAAAGCAGATTTGTGGCAACCACTTGCTCTCGGGGTTGTATCTTGTTTGATAGATCCAGATCTTTTGACTTGGATCCGTAAACTCGGCAATGCTCTCTCTGACAATACGCATCTCGGATGGTGCAATAGCTGTAGCAGTAGCACCTTCTTGAAGTAATAGTGGAGCAGTGGCACAATTGTTTCCAAACCCGACATCAACCTATCTTCATCCGTTAGTATGTCTGGTCCATGCGGTGGCTGCAGTAGATATCCATGCCGTACCATGTACTTTTCCCCTCCAATGGTCACAATCAAAACCATATGCCCACTTTTCCGGATCAATGGTGTCAGCTCGGCTCGAAGGCTCAGAACACTAAACTGTCGGAGAACCTACATTGCCAAATATAACCCATTATCCACTCCCTTCGCCGCAGCATGACTGACTCTACCTCCAGTGGCGTAAACAAGATACCCCAAGGACCGCAATACAATCAAGAAGATTCCCGTATTCTCCATGCAGTATCCATCTAGCTGCCGCTCCACCATCTTCTCAAAGAGACTCTGCGGGTTCAGAGAAATAGTATGATGTTGCGAATAATGTAGCGCTGAGTTGCCCCATGGAATGGCAGCGAGATGTCGTCTTTGCAGATGACATAACGCAGAAAGTGCATCTTTCTCAATATCCTGGCGGAGCTGCTGGAGAAGATTACTCTCAGATTGAGCGGGGTGGGAATACCCGATGCGGCTCAGGTACAACTCCAGCTGTTGATCGGTATATGTGGGTTTATGTGCCATTGTTGGGGTTCCAGGTTCCTCGCTGTTCGGGCTGTGCTCGAGGGATATATGAACTGTCTATACCCACGGCTATCAAGGTCAAGGATCGGAATTATTCCATTTGCTCCATTTGATGACCAATGTTGACTTGGCTCCCCACATTCTCCCCCACATCCAAGGTTGCCTCCGCGACAATGGTTTATAGTGTCCGGCCATATTAGGAAAATGCTCCTGTTCCATGCACAATTCCTATGCTATAGACAACCTGCTCAGATTGATATATCCATATATAGTTATCGTATTATGGCCGTTATCATTATATATATATATATATATATCGTAGAATGCGCTTATCTTTTTCTATCTGCAGCAATACTCGTACTACAGTGTACTTTCAACAAAGATGAATCGTAAGTAGGCCGATTTGAAATTCTAGAAGCCTGCTATATTGTAAAATCCCCGCTTCAAATTGGAGAAAGTAATCCACAAGGGAGAACATCGGCAACGGGAGACACGAATCTCGGTACTTGCAGTACTATCCACTAATAAACAATCTATTTATGCTTTGCTTTAAGGTACATATATATATTTCCCCGAAAATAACTTGGTACCCCACGTTTCCTGCGAGCTGTACATGCGGGAGACACGTTATTCTTATCCATCACCTCGGCTATGACCCGTGTGAGGAACAGAGTTATTCACAGATATAATTGACAGTTTTATACATAAGTAAAAAAAATATATGAGAATTTGATGATAGCCAGTTCCTCAATATCCCAGAATTAAGCAATAAGCTTGTGAAACGTGCCTTTAAACGCTCCGAGTTATAGATCTCCGATGATGTAGTATTCATCCGATATCCGGACCTACGGACATGTGCTTCGACTGATCAGCGAATGGACATTTCATCCTACTTCTCTATTACTTCCTATCTAAATTCTACTTTGTACAGCACTGTTATCTATACAAATCCAACAGCATATTGCCCCTCCAACCGTGAAACCCCGCATCTGAACAAAATGGCTACGCTAAACGAGCAACTCGCGACATTAACCGAGAACTACTCGCCCTGTGATGTATGCCAACATTGTTTTTCCATAAGCCACCAAACAATACATCTAACATTCCAATTATCCAGGTATCCGATGCCCTCGTCAAGCTACAAAAAATGCCTGAGGGCAGCGCACCAAGAGCAGGCTACCTCGCAGACCTAGGTAAGCCATCAATGCAACGCTCTCCAACGCCTCTATCTATTACCCCAATAATCCCACTAACATATATCCGTCAGTACCATTCTCCCCCACAACAGGACGGAATGAAACAATGCCCAAGATTGCGGCCCCGGCAACAACATTCAAATTTCTAGCCAAAGACGCCAGCCCGCCATCAATCGCAACAGAAAATCCCGAGAAGCACGGCTTCCCGCCCGGTAAGCACTGGGTAGACTATGTCGATGAATTCCAAGCGTCGGATCCTTCCGGCGCCGGATCCATCGTCGTCATCGAGCAGCCCGAGAACCAGCGCTGCGCTGTGACCGGCGGGATCATGGCGACCCGGATGAAAGCCCTCGGGATCAAAGCCACGGTTGTGGGCGGCCGTGTTAGGGACTTGAAGGAATTGAAAGCTACTGGGCTTCCGGTTTGTCTTGATCTCTCATGGTTTTGTCAGTAGCGTTACTAATTGCGCTGTTACTTGATAATAGATCTTCGCTCGCGCTACTTCTACCGTTGGTACCAGTGCCGAGGCCAAGGCTGGTGCTCGTGATGTGCCAATCTCAATTGGGGGTGTTACTGTTTCACCTGTGAGTTTGTTTATTGCTGTTTGCTGATGGCTTCATGGCGGAGTTCGTGGTCTGATTATTGCAATCCATTATAGGGAGACATCATCTTCTGTGACCCATTGGAAGGAGTAGTTGCCATTCCTCGCGAGCTGCTTGGTTCAGTGCTTGAGCTCATGCCTAAATTGACTGCTATGGACGAGCAGGCTAAAGAGGCTGTTGCGCAGGGAATGAGTGTCACTGATGCTTTTAAGAAATTCCGCTGATCACCTACCTTCAGCTGGGTGTATATAGTACATACGTATAACCAGATTATATAGTAGGCGACGAATTGGAAAGACCTGGACCAGATTAGCACAAGTATCTGTATGGAATCTACGCCAATATTGCTATCAGATGTGGAGCAAAAACATAGCTAAGCATATATATGCAGTTCCAATCTTTTGGTATTCATAGTATTCAATACATAACGAGAAATCTGTGTATCTGAAAGGGAGAAGAAAAAAAGGGGGGCCAAAAAAGCCAAATCGCTTTGCAAATGTACAATCGAAACATGAATTTCGTTTACTCCGACACCCAGACAGCGGCCATACCCATACCGGTACCGATACACATGCTGGTGACACCAATCTTCTTGTTTGTGCGCTTGAGCTCAGTGAACAATGTGCTGACCTGGCGAGCACCAGTGCAGCCAAGAGGGTGACCGAAAGCAATAGCACCACCCTTGGGGTTAATCTTCTCGGCAGGGATGCCGAGCTCATTAACACACCAGACACACTGGGAAGCGAACGCCTCGTTGATCTCGTAAATGTCGACATCATCCTTGGTGATGCCGGCCTTCTCAAGTGCAACGGGGATAGCCTTCCAGGGGCCGATTCCCATGAGGAGGGGCTTGACGCCGACAACGCTGGCAGCGACGTACTTGCCGAGAATCTTCTGGCCCAAACGCTCGGCGGTGGACCGCTTCATGAGGAGGACGGCGGCGGCACCGTCGGAGATCTGAGAGGCGTTACCGGCGTGGATGGAACCATCCTTGGCAAAGGCGGGCTTAATCTTTCCCAGGGACTCGGCGGTGATACCCGGGCGGATTCCGTCATCAGCCTTAACGGTGATGGTCTTCTCCTCGCCGGTCTTGGGGTCGGTCCACTTCACGTCCAGGGGAGCGATCTCCTCGTTGAAGAGACCGGCCTTCTGGGCGGCAAGGGCCTTTTGGTATGAGTGAGCGGCGAAAGCATCTTGGGCAGCACGGGTCACGCCACGATCCTTGGCCATGTTCTCGGACAGAACACCCATGGGGACCTTGCAGTTTGCGGACTCAGGGTGGCTCTCGAGGAGGTCGGAGAACTCGGTCACGGCACCGGGTCTGTATCGACTTGTTAGCTATATTATCGAAGGAGGGAATTCCGGGGGCTTGAAACATACCCGTACTGGGAGGACATGCTCTCAACACCGGCACCAATGCCGACATCGATCATGCCAGACTGAATGGCGTTGGCAATATCGGCAATAGCCTGGAGACCACTAGAGCACTGACGGTTCAAACTCTTCACGGCGGTGCTCTCGGGGAAACCAGCCACGAGAGCGGCGGCACGGAACTCAGTGGCACCACCACCGGGGGCAAGGACGGAGCCGACAGCAATGTCCTGGACGGCACTGGGGTCGACACCGCTCTTGTTCAGAACAGCCTTGAAGACACCGGCAAGCAGATCAGCACCGGCGGTATCCTTGAAGCCACCCTTGCCACCCTTGGTAAGGGCGGTACGGAGGGCACATGTCACGACAATGTCATCGGGGTGCTTCTCGATGATGGCGGCAGCTCCCTTCTTGCCGCCAGGGCCGAAGTGGGAGGAAACCTGGTTAAGACGTTGCTGGGCTATGGATAAAAATTAGCTTGCTGGTTCTATCTCTATTATAACTTCCAACAAGCAGCCATAAACTAAGCATTCGTTGAATGCATAGCCATGGGTGATCACATGCACAGCACTCACCGTTAGACATGACGTCAATGTGTGATGGGGGTATGGGAGAGGTGTGAGGATGAAAAACAGGGCAAAAGTGAGGATAATAAAGTAGCCCAGATATCCGGGGAACCGATGGTTTATAAATCAAGCCTGTGGAATCGGTGATATTTCCCCTTTGGACCGCCGTTGCTGGCCGTTGTCGCATTCTAAGGAAGTACCGAGGTTCATTTGGCCGCATCATCGTTGATCCATGACAGTCACGGGATCTCCGAGTGGTGGATCGCAAGGGGCATGTGAAATCGGGGGATCGCATATCACATGCGTGTGGGGGATGGCCGGACTCATGTTTTGCGACGTCATGTAAGTAGATCAGCTCGGCACGAGGCTACTTGTATATTCAATATGTTTTCGGATATTTTCTATATAACCCTTTTATTCCAAAGCTCTGAATATGATATCGACATCGGGATGCGTCTCCACAAATAAGGAACAGCTGAATCCATGTATGTACTTTTGTCAGAGTATTCTACTTCATAAATCCAAAAAGGGGGGCTTATCACAATCAACTCCCCTGATAGCTCAGCTGGAAGAGCGCAAGACTGTAATTGCCCTGTTCTACAAGGAACTTGTTATCTTGAGGTCCCTGGTTCGATCCCGGGTCAGGGGATTATTTTTTATTTTTTATTTTATTTCTGTTTTCTATTTTTGTGCTACATCATAAACTTACCTGTCTGGACAACGAACTACTTTGAGCCAACACAATGACTGCAAACTCCTCAATGGTCGCGGATATCAACTCCCTATCAGAATTTCTCAGCGATAATCAATTACCCGATCTCTCCACCACATCCGCAGTCGACTGCATTGTCATATGCGCCTCAGCCGTTCTCCACAGTGCCGAGGTCCTCTTTCAGACTCTTCAGCAAAGACCGTCTCTTACCAAATCTCTCGTACTGTGTGGCGGCATCGGGCACTCGACCAAGCTCCTTTATGATGCAGTGAAATCCCATCCAGTCTATTCACGCATCGCCGATGAGATCCAGGGTCTCCCTGAAGCCAAAGTTCTCGAACGAATTCTAGATGAGTTCTTCGATCGATCTCTCATCACCAAAGAAGGATGTGAGATTCTCCTTGAACCCCGATCTACAAATTGCGGACAGAATGCTTCATTCTCTCGCAAAGTCCTCGATGAAGCGGGCTTTCAAGCACCAGCCACTTGTATTATCATTCAGGACCCCACGATGATGCTCAGGACCAAGGCATCATTTGAAAAGGCTTATGAGGGTACCCAAACTCCGGTTTCTATTGTTAGTTGCCCGGTATTTGTGCCGCAGGTGCAATTGTCCAATAACGGAGTCATTGAGTATTCAGACATGTCGCCGCCGTCCGAGTTGTGGTCACAAAGTCGGTTTTTGGAGCTTATCATGGGCGAGATACCGAGGTTGAGAGACGATAAAGATGGTTATGGTCCTCAGGGGCGTGGTTTCATTGCTCATGTGGATGTTCCAGGCCATATTGAGGCCGCTTGGTCTCGACTACAAGTGGTGACTAAGAGCTCCAGATAGGGATCCGGATATACCGAGTGCCAATGGAGAACACGAAACAGAGACATTTATTGTATGCATTAGAGGCTATGTATGTACATAATTAATGGCGATATTATGGTAACCGAGGCATCAAGATGCAGATCCCGTGCACGTACCTATAATGCAAGTACGGCATACATAAACCCCACTACGATATGCCATACAACATAGCAGTTGGGAGTGAACTTCCAGGTGGTTTCAACGGGTCTTAAAAAAAGTACTAAAGTCTTAAAAAAGAAAGAAAAAAATGATCCCCTGACCCGGGATCGAACCAGGGACCTCAAGATAACAAGTTCCTTGAAGAACAGGGCAATTACAGTCTTGCGCTCTTCCAGCTGAGCTATCAGGGGATGTGATTGGTTGATTAGCCTATTTAAGCATTACAGTCTAAAGCAACTGGACCTGTCTCATAGCAATATCCCTTTCAACCGAATCACAACCTTGGAAAGCTTAATTTCTTGTCGATGGCAAAAGTGTAGACCCATTAATTGTTCGAAATGGGCGTATCCAGATAAGCCGGCGGCAAAACACCCTCCAACGCAGCTTTGATCTGAAGCGCCAACGTCCGCGAGTGCCACCGGTGTTGCTGTGTATAGCCACCCATAACCCAAAAGCCATCAAGGCGTGACTGCCTCTTCCACAAGCCACGGATCTCGCCCTCGGAATCAACGCCCCATGTGGCGTCAATGCGAGCAGCAATATCACGAGGACCGAGCTTCTGCGTACCATTGGCCTCACCTTTCCTGTCATTCTGGGAACTGCTGGAAGCCTGACTTGCAGAACCGCCTAGGATCTCAATAGCGGTTTCGCGCACATTTTTATCGGCAAATCCAGTGCACCATATGACAGCATCCACGTCAATATGACTGCCATCCGAAAACCGCAGCCCCGTCGCCGTGTACGCAACAGGCTCAACATTAGCCTTGATACCAGCCTTGCCCTCTTCTAGTAGCTTGGTACCGCCCACATCGACATAATGTCCACCAGCACGCTCAATCAGGTTCTGCATCAAAGCACATTCAGGGTTGGTGCTGTCCAAAACGGGAAAACCAGTTGCTGCCAGAGCTTTGTAGCGGTCCGGCTCCTGTGATGCGAAATTCGCAAGCAAGCCGCGGGCGATCTGGGCGTCTATGAATGACGGGAGTGTCATGAAAATATTATCTGCGCGCTCAACACCGGCATCGTAGGCGCCTAGGCTGGCTGGGTGATCGAGGTGCTCCACTGGTATCATATACGTCGGAGAACGAACGTTCATTGTTGTTTTGAGTCCTGCAGAGTGGCAATCCCCGAGGATATCGAAAGCTGTATTGGCGGAGCCAATTACGATAGCTGACTATAGTGGGAGTGATGCGGTCAATCTTGATTCTGTCAGTTTATTTTTCGCTGGGGCTTCACCCACCTTCGCTCCTTTCTCCTTCAGTTTCTCGGCATTCTTGTAATGCTCTGAATGGATGCTGACACCTTTGTACAGGTGGCTATCTGCTATCGATGGTATATTCACTTTTTGGGATCCAATTCCAGTGGCCATGACAACGTGTTTGGAGATTGCTGTACGTTGACCAGCAGGAGTCTGGAATTTCACCGTCCACCGCTTGGTCGATGGATCATACTCTGTCCATTGAATCTGTGCCGAAGTGATCATGTTGAGGTTGAAATCCTTGACATATTTTTGTACCTGGAAAGCCAAATCCTCTTTCGACAGACGATGGGGAGTTAAAAGCTTCTTGTCATAGTCTAGTTTCCAGGTTTCATATCAGTCACGCTTGGTCGAATATTAAGATATGATAAAACTTACCCATATAGGGCAAGTGGCACAGTGAAGTGGGGACATGAAAATGCATGCAGTCATAGCGGAGAGTCCAGTTGTCCCCTGCCCGGGCATTACGCTCAGCCATGACGCTCTCAACCCCCAAGGCTTTGAGGCGTGCGGCAAAGGCTATAGCTCTTTAACATCAAGTGGCAGGTTAGCATGGATATTTTTCGAAGCTTTTTCGCCTTCTTACGCATTTCCGCCTCCGATTATGAAGACATCAGTCTCAAAACTCTCAATGCCACCGAGTTGCCTGCCGGGAGATTGAAGCAAGGTCTCATTCTCTTTCTGTAAGTGCAGTTCTTTCAGAATAGTGCTCAGAACCCAGATCTTCCACTCGACTGTCTCGTTGGCGCCCTTGATCGGCAAGAGCATCACCTTTCCTTTGCAAGTGGCAGCTGGCGAGCTGGTTTGGAAGACAATTCCACAGTCAATGAATTGCTGTGTTAGAAAAGTCAGCTACCCTTCACCAGGCTCGATTTTCACCGGGTCATTTTCTCACAAGAACTGGCGTCACTGGGAGGAATATAGCCTCACCGTCGACCGTTATATCTCCCATGATGACCCTCAGCTTGTTAGTATCCAACAGACTGGCAGCAATTATGTCTGGAGTTTTGAATGTCCGCAGGTGGTACGTCAGTGCTAGCTGGTCCTTCCAGTATGCCTGGTCCTTCCAGAAGCAGTCTTTGAGCGCCTCCGCATCATTTCTGGCGAGCGCGCTGTTCAAGTTATCCAATACAACTTGGGCTTGTTTAGTTGGTTCATCACCCGCCATTGAGTCTGGTTCTATCATTCCAGGGGCGAGCAGGGGAAGCGGATCCTGAGCCATCAACTTGAGAAGGTCGACGCGCGGGGGAAACTCATTGTGTGACGTGGACATATTTTTGTCTGTTAACCGCAAATTAGTCTTATCAACATAATCGATCCGTGATCACGAATCGTCTGATAATACTCACTGTGGGCCATTGTTGGGTTTGAGATAAACGATGCTTGCCCTGGGTAGGATGTGAATATTTTGACAGACTTCCCGGGGGACACTGTCGCTCTATGGAGGACGGGGTACAAATCAGGCGTCCACCGATATTGGCTGCTCATGCATCGGCTTAGTGCCGCGGCGGTCCGTGTCCCTCGGTGGGACCCATGAGGTCTATATATTCCTCAGGGCTTCGGTACCCTTTGATACCTAAGATATCACCCCTTGCTTCATCGAGGTGACAAATTGTCTTCGGAAGATGAGCCATAGTACTTCGCTGGTGGTTGATAGGTACTCATCTATACTGGAAACACACCTCTATGAGTTGAAATCTCAGAGATGGGGCCGTGTCTGGTGGGGAGCAACTAATCTTTAGGTCTGAACCTTCAATTGATCGGCAGTGGTATATCCGCTGTCAAGTCTTCAACATTACGTCTCCAGTGGGTCGACCAACTTACACAATTTTTTCAAAATCCTTCCGGAAGTGAGGAAAAGAGGCCAGAGATTATGGATCTATGTCCTGAATTCTAATATACCACAAATCTAGGGTCCTACTGGTATTAATCACCAAAGGCTTTGAAGAAATGCCTGTGGGAGATCATCATTTGGTCAGGGCAGATAATTGTTTATCAATCCTTCGATATTGTTCCTCGCTTATTGGGTTTTGGGCTTCTAGTTTATTTTGGTATACTACTCACTCCTTTATGTTGGCTTTGGAATTCCACCATTTGAATGTGTGGATTGTATGGATATATATATATATTGCGCGGGTGGGTCCGTACCTCCGTGTTACCCGCAACTTAAAAAATATGTATATTTAACGGAGCACACAAGAAGACTAAGGTTGTTGATATTCCCTTCAAGCCTTCCTCAGATCTCCTCAACCAGCGATGCCATAAATTCCACACCTAATGTCGGACATCAATAATCTATCTCATCGCCTGATCTTTCCCACCTCGACATGCGGGACCCCGGCCCCCCTCCAGGGCACCCGGTGAGAACATGAAACTATACGTGAAGCAGGGAAAATATGCCAGAAAAGCTGTCAACAATATCGCAGCAGAGGAGAAGGCCGAAACCCAGGCTATGACTTTGTTAGCGGGATTGCGGGGACCCGCGCTGGACTTCGCGTATACCCGTCCGCAGGAGATCCATGATAAGTTTGAAGAAGAATTCCCGCAACGTCCGATCGAGTAATTCCCATCGGAACACAAGGTGGTCGATAAGCTAGACGTACGGACGCAGATATACTAGCAAAAGAAAGGAATTCAGTCGTTTGGCGAATATGCCAACATCGTACGTGCTTTGAGTGCACAGACGGGGAAAGAGGATCAAGCGAAACTTGCACGAGCTTGGGTATCTGGCCTGAACGACCAGTATGTCAATGCGGCCTCCAAAACGAGGATGATCGCATGGAAACAAGTCACTGTACCTGACACCATTACGCCGGTTCGTCGGATATCGAGCAACAGTCAATATTAACCATTGCTTGAGATTATAGGTAGACTGAAGGGAAATCCGATGACAGTCAGCAACTCGGCGAAGCTGAAGCCGTGGCCTCGGCCATTAAAATATACATAAACATAGAGGAACTACCCTATGTGGCACGGGGCGCCGAAGGCAAGCATCCTCCATATACTAGCGCGGCATTGTACTATAACCTCGACCTTGGCACGGGCCGGTTATCTCACAAAAAGAACTTTACAAGGAAGAACGGTACCTACATAAACAGACAGGTATATTTTTACACTATAGTATATTCTATCTCCAATAAAATAGCCAAATGAAAAAAAAATACAAAATACAAAAATAATCCCCTGACCCGGGATCGAACCAGGGACCTCAAGATAACAAGTTCCTTGTAAAACAGGGCAATTACAGTCTTGCGCTCTTCCAGCTGAGCTATCAGGGGAGGATATGTTATAGGGTCCAGAATTAGGAATAATAAGCCAAAACCTTCAACCAAGATAACCAAATCACCTCGCTATCCACCATCCGTATTCCCAAGAATCACCAGCCAATATACCTCCTCCAACCCGACAGAAAAAAATACAACAAAAACCAAGCAGATAACCACCCATGTTCCGACGCGCCCTAACCGCGGCCTCATCAGCGCGCGCATCATCCACAAGCACAATAACAAGCGCCTCATCTTGCAAGCTCCAACTCACCCGCCCATCATGGCACCTTGTACGCACACCCGAGCAAGAGCAAGAGCAAGAGCATGAACATGTTCTGCTCTTCCTGCTCTTCAATGATATCTCAAGCCCAAATCCAAAACAAAAAAAAAAACTAACCACAAAACTCCTCCAACAGAACCCAAGCACCACCCGCCTCTTCACCACGACTCCATTCACAGCTTTCACAGCATCACCACCAACCAAGAACCCCTCACCATTCCGCCTCTCCGCAAACAAAACCGACTCCTCACCCCCTCCTTCGAAGATGTCTATTACAGCCCTTACCAACCAAAGCGCCAATGGCCACCGGATATGTCCAAGCTATCGCCGAAACACCAGTTCCGACTTGAGCGCAAGTACCGTCGTCGCGCGGCGCTGAAGTATGCCCGGCCGAAGTTTATGAAGGCTGTTACGCTGGCGCAGTGGGTTGTTATCGGATGTGAGTTTTTCTTGAGATTGCGGGTTTACACGGAGATTGGAGATTGGAGATGAATCGGGTGTAAATCTGCGGTGGATAACGTGCATGGATTTCGAGGAAAGATGCTGACTTTTTATGCTATAGTTGTCATTATCTATTCCGTGCTATTCATGGAGTGGGATACAGATGATACCGCGTTCCATGCGGTAAGTGTTCTCTGTGTCTTGGGGATTATGCGCATTTATATCTTGACTAACATGGTTTCGCCTCATAGATTCGGGAGAAATTCTTCGCTGGTGTCCGGGCTATATTCTCCAGCGCGCCGCCTCCTGGTCCGAGAAGGGATCAGAAGGATAATGCGGCGTCTGAGCAGAGCTAGTAGTCGAGTTCATGTCGATTTGTGTCTGATATCGATATTTTGTACAATATTCAACTAGATTCCCTACTTGCATCAACAGCCTACTAGAAAATCTCAAAAATCTCAAAAATCAATAAGAAAAACTACTGTCGATTCATTCAATTCTCATATCTGTTCATAGGTCATTTGTCATGAAGAAATCCTGTGGAAGAACAGGCGTCGCTGTACCATGGAGAGAAGGAGAAAGAGACAGGGAAAAAATCATCAGTCTGTCTCTTTCTCGCTTTCTGCTCCGTCGCCTGTGCCAATATTTGGCTTCATTACATCATGTCCGCAGGACTTCTCTGGACAAGAAAATGCAGTCAACATGCCAATAACACCAAGAATGCCAACGCCTGTCAGAAATAACAGACCACCAATAAACTCCAAAGGTCAAGTAAACAAAAAATACCAACAAGATAAGTTGGGATGGGGCTGCTTGAGGACCAGCCCTAACGCCGAGTCATGATAGTGTGAAAGCCAAAGAAAAGATAGGAAATAAAGACAAGAGAGGAATGGGAAATTCGTTAAATCGAACCGGGGGGTTGCGCACCCGGTTCTTAAAGCCAGCTGCGTAGATCGCTCGACGGGGTAGTCGGGCCAGCAGCTGGACGGTTGTCCGAGAAGTCTAGAGCAAGTTCCAGCCTGGGCGGCCGCTCGTCAACCAGGCCCTTTCTAGGGGAACCCGGCGCGGACTTCTTGGGGGATTTGGTGGGCGAGCCAGGTTCGCCTGCTCGGGGCGGACCTTCGCGCACAAAGGTATAAGGCCAGCCATCATCGGCTGCTGCTGCAACCCAGGTTCGCAGGCAATCATGCACAGAAGAATAGAACTTCTCCTTGCAAGTACGCAGGCTACCACCCATGACTTTCTCAAAACCAGAGGCACGGAGCTCATCGCGCAGCTGGTTTCGCTCATCAGGGGTGGGCAGCATGGCAATCAGGCCGTTCACAAGATCGAGATGTGCCGCAAGATAGTTGGTCGCATCCCATTCAACACCTCCAACGTATGGGGCAGCCGGAACAGGAGGACGAGGGACTGGGAAGTGGCGCTCGTTGTAAGGACGAGTGTCTACTGGCGTCTTCTCCCCAAAAGAGGTCCTCTGACTTTGGGAGGGGAATCACATTCAGGTGATGAAGGAAAATCCAGAAGACTTCCTTGGTCACGTTGGTGACCTCCTTACACCACACTCTATAGGGCCGTGATTGGTAAATATTGGCAATGAAGGCTAGCGGCTGGTTATCCACTGGTGGTGTAGGATCCTTTAGATAAGAAAGGATCTGTTTGGCGCGCTTGGTCGCCAATTCACCAGCAGGAGCAGTGGAGAGCTGCGTGAATAGCAGGTTTGCAATAATTCCTCGAGTGGTGAACTCACTGGGACCCTTCTTTTCCTCGTCGAACAGCATATGCAGCAGAGCAGGGAAAAGCTCTTCCTCGATGGAAGCGAGGTGTGCCAGGGCCACAGATGTAGTGCACAGTGCCTTCAGACAGAGCAATGCCTCGTGCAAAAGGGTGTCTTCATGGTCCTCACTGTAAAACAGGTTAGTTACTGGTGGGAATGAAGAGGGAAATAGAATACATACCGCCAGGTCATCTTCATAATGCGGTAGAGAAGCTGTACAATCTCGTCCATTCCTCCTTCAGTGATAAAGTCATTGACCCATTGAACGGTTTCGTTCCGCAGGAGAAGGCGCAACTTGTGCATCTTTCCCACTTCAACCATCTCAGGCTTTTGGATCTCTCTCAAGTAATGCACAAAGTCGGAAGGATCCGCCGCGGTATCGACAGCAGCTGCATCAGCAAGGGATGCTGTTGAAGCATTGGCCGAGAGGGTGGTGTAGACACCGACAGGCTGGGAAAGATCTACAGACCTTGGCCGACGGCTTGATACTTCACTATCCCGCCGCAACTTTTTACCAGGCGACGAGGGGCCTTTGGTGAAGGTGAATCCGCGGCTTCTAGATCGTGATCGAGAGCCTTTACGGTCCTGAGGCTGGGAGTCTTCCTTGGATTCTTTGCCGCGTCCTCGACGGCTATCACCGGTTCCCGTGCTGAGAGGAGTGATATTCTCTGTCCGATCTTTCTGGATAAAATCGGCCTTGATATTGGTATCAAGCGAGCGCATCTTGTCTCTCATATTATGAGGGATATTCCTCGCATCCTAAAGACATGTTAGCCTTACAATTCAAATTGTATCTAGTACGACCGGGTTAACAAACCAGCAGCTTCTCGAATTCGCTTTCGAGGTCCTTGGAGTTCAGATGCTGATGCACTTCAGCATCTCGCTCCTTTGCATTGAATGCCGAGATAGCAGCCTGTACACGAGAAAGCCGCTTGGGTTCTTCTTTCATGGTAGGCGGGGATGTTTTTCGTGGACTCGGTGGTCCTCTGCTCTTAGAAGAAGCACTATCAGATCGAACAGGGTCGTTTTCTCCCGAAGGTGCGCGCTGCAACCCGAGAATATCCTTCATTTTGCGGTTCCCTGTTAAGATGTCTGACTTGGGGCGAGGCTTGGAATCGCTTGATTTGGCGAGGGAGGGTTGGTGGTAGTCATAGAAGTTGCGTTGCTGGCTTGGCCCGTAGCCCTTGGGCGTATAGAGAGAGACTTCGTCCGCCACGGTTCGCCTCAGGTCGACGGTCGAGTTCGGTCTCGAACGACTAGTAGGCTCTTTGTGAACCGAGGCTGAGTCCTGCGACCAGACTGGGGATGGCATATTATCAATCAGGTCGGTCGGGCTGCGGTTTTCCTTATCGCGGCTCTGCTTTGAGCCATCCTTTCTTCCCCTTTGGGACCTTTTGAGGATGGCCGAGAGACTGTTGGATGATTTAGCCTTCTTCGGGGACAGATCCTCACTCTGCTCGGGTGTCTCATCCGATTTGCTATCCTTCCGCTCCATGTAATTTCTCAGGGACTTCAATGAGACAGCGCTCTTAGTCTTCTTATGTAGGGCACCTTTGCTTTCCTTGCTACCCATCTTTGGCCCGGCCACTCCATGGTCGCCCGCGTCACGATTGGGGACAATCTCACTGAGCGGGCGGTAGCCGGCAATCAAACCAGGCTCCTCCGTGAATGAGAAAGGGATGTTCTCGGTTGGCTTGCTTCTCTGCAGAGGCCGCGGGGCCACGGCATCGTCGGCTGATTGGTTTCGTTTATGGGTTTTGGACGACATTATGGCCCGAAAAATGGACTGTTTGGTAGGAGATCGGTTCGCATCGTCAAAGATTTGGGGACCAGAGGTGCTCGCAGCCATTGCTATCCTCTTTGACCAGCAACTAAGTACATCTTGTTAGCAGCTGCAGTGGATGAAGACCTGCGGAGGGGAACGGGTAGTTGCAGTTTGCACTCACGGGATCTGTGGAAACAAACGCAGAACAAAAACAACAACGCGGGCACAAAAAGGAAAGGGTGATAGTCAAGTATATCCCTTAAATTTCAACAAAGAACAAAAAGGCGGGGAAGCAGATAGGGTGGAAGGAAAAGAGAAGATCAGACGATGGGCAAGCTGGGGAATTTGAAGAATTAACGGCGCCTTGCTGCCAACAGCAACCGTCATCGAGTATCAAGATATTGATCCACTTGCCTCGACTTAGCGTATGAGACGATCCTTGGGGTTGGCTGGATTGATGGTGGAGGAGTAAACAACGTGCGGGTAAAGAGGTTGCGAGGGGCAACCAAGGGACTTGGCGGTGAACATGGGTATTAACCTTCGATGTACTTCGAACAGGACATGTCATATTGCATATTATTGTATTTATTGCCCATTCATTTGGGGGGTTATTTTAGGTATGCATACAGTCCTTGCATGTTCTTTTTTTTCCTTTGTTTTGTTTTGATTGTTATTGTTATTCTTGTTGAATCGGGGGATTATACGTAGATATATTGGATAGATCCTTGATTAGCATATTGGCATATATATTGGCATATTGGCACTACTTGATACATCTACTTGAAAATATAATGATATACATATCTCAATTCTCTTATAGGGTATACCGTATACCTATGTAGTTTGCAATTATCATTCTTTGTTATTCTTGACCACAACATCTAACTCATGCCGATGCCGGCAGGACTGGCCCAATTGAGAATAAACACGGAGTACATCGTGTTTACATGCACTTATGTAGAGTAACCCCCAAGCCACTTTTTTCTCCCGATCTTCTGATCATATTTTATGTAGACTGTGCATACAAGTATGACTCCGACCGTTTACTGTTTGTGTGGAATTTGATCTTCCATCTACCGTTTGCGACCACCGGTGGCAGGACATTAAGACACTTAAATCTCAAAATTCTCAACGTAAAAAGACACAAATAAGAAGGGTAGAGCCACGGGGATCTGAAGCGATAACTCAAGTGAGACAATTCCGGTTTACATACTCCATACGGATTGCGGGTTCTAGAACGGGAGACGAAGATCGGGCGGTTTCGGACTCAGGATTTCCACAAGTTACCCATTGAACGTTGACCTTCTCTGGCACTCCAGAATCCAAGGCTTGATTGAAAAGAAATCGTCAACATCCAGCCAAGACAAACTGAGCCAAGACAGCCAAGCCAAGCCTGCAACCATGAATTGCCCCTCGCGGACGGATGACACACTTCAAAACCCGAGTTGGAATCAAAGCCCACCGCCCTTCAGTCCGGACACGACTACGCGGAATGACTTCAATGGTCTCGCCAATTCCAGAGTCCATCGCAGACATGCCAATTCTGCAAATGCAGCAGGAGATGATCCGTTATCTATTGATGACAGACCCAACAGTCAGCAAGATCGAGACCCCGGAAAGGAAAAAGTGCCAAGCGGCGAAGTGATCGCTGCCGACTTGGGAGGTGATTCACCCCCAGAGGAGCAGCGGATCACCTCGCCAACCTTTTTTTACTTTCTTGACATCTTCTACTCTGAACTGCGCTCGAACTTTGGTTAAATTCAGCCGTTTCATCGGCCCTGGTTTCCTCATCGCTGTCGCCTATATCGACCCCGGAAATTATGCCACTGATGTCGCAGCCGGTGCAGACTTCAAGTACTCCTTGTTGTTCATCGTTCTGCTTTCCAACCTATTTGCGATTCTTCTGCAGTCCCTGTGTATCAAGCTGGGCTCTGTGACTGGTCTGAACCTGGCCGAAAATTGCCGAGAGCATCTTCCGAAATGGATGGTGATTATTCTCTATATCTTCGCAGAAGCGGCCATTATCGCAACTGATATTGCAGAGGTGAGTGTCACGTTTTGGCCCAGGGGATTTGAATCGATGTACTGACAAAATTGAAAGGTGGTTGGATCAGCGATCGCGTTGAACTTACTGTTGCATATCCCCTTGGTAGCTGGTTGTGCTATCACCTTGGTGGATGTTCTTTTCATTCTCATTTTCTACCGACCCAATGGCAAGATGTGGGGACTTCGACTGTTCGAGTTCTTCGTCATGGCTTTGGTGCTAGGTGTTGTTGTTTGCTTTTGCATTCAGCTCTCTCTCGTAAAGGACCAGTCAGTTGGCGAAGTATTCCGCGGATATCTGCCATCTTCGGCCATCGTTCAATCCGAAGGGTAAGTCTGTCTAATCCGCCTCGTCGCTGCCCCCGCAAATTTCTCAACTACTAACGCGCCTACAGCCTTTACCAAAGTTGTGGAATCCTCGGTGCCACTGTTATGCCACACTCCCTATTCCTTGGTAGCGGCGTAGTTCAATCCCGCCTCAAGGAATTCGACGTTGATTCTGGTTACGTGGAGACTACAGTACCTCTAGGTAACGCAGACGGCGAAGTCAAATATCGCCCGTCGATCCACGCAATCCGCGGCTGCATGAAGTACTCGATCATTGAGTTGTCGCTGTCACTTTTTACTTTCGCCCTGTTTGTGAACAGCGCAATTCTAATCGTCGCTGGTGCTGCTCTCTATGATGTTCCTGGCGGAGACAATGCCGACCTCTTTGGAATTCACGACTTGCTCTCCAAGTCGATTGCACCAGCTGCCGGCTTGGTCTTTGCTCTCGCCCTGCTACTCTCAGGTATTTCTGCTGGAATTGTCTGCACCATTGCTGGTCAAATGGTGAGCGAGGGGATGCTGAACTGGTCCATCCGACCATGGCTTCGAAGACTCATCACCCGCTCGATCAGTATCATTCCCAGCATCATCATTGCTGCGGCTGTTGGCAAGGAGGGTCTTGATAAGACTTTGACTGCGAGCCAGGTTGTTTTGAGTGTTATTCTACCATTTGTTTCAGCGCCACTTATCTGGTTCACTTGTCTCAATCGCTACATGACCGTTCGGACCGAAGAACCTTCCGAGAGACAGGGTGAAGTTGATGTAGTGACAGTTCAGATGCGGAATAACCTACTCACTTCGGTGGTTACAGTCCTTGTGTGGGTTGTCATCGTTGTGATGAATGTGGCTCTGCTGGTGCTCGTGGGAATGGGCAAGGCATCTTAATCTCTAGTTATGCTTTGCTTTGCATGGCATAAAGATGCATATCAGGGACGATAGACATGACCTATCAAGTTCCTGATTGCAGCGAAAACAGATCCATGGAGCTCGGTAATGCATATGCTAATTTCTATGGTATGACGCATGGATGGAATGAGTGGTTCGAATATGATATGAGTTTAGCTTACTGCAAGTTAAAATAAACACCCAATCAACTCCACTGTCTGTGCCTTGACACAGAGAAGAACACCTAGTTGCCGCTAAATAAAAGCACGCTTTAACATTAATCTTATCCAAGTCCGCCCGCAGCCTCCTTGACCTTATGTTGCTCAGGCGGCTCATCAATAAACTGCGGGGGTGCTACCTCATCTTGCAAGAAGCTCGGCATAGCACTCTCACTCATGCTGCTCTCGAACATGGATTCCTCGCCCAGTGCCTCAAGCTCCGCATCCAACTCGGCCTCATCAACATCCTCGGGGACATCATAGGCCCGGGAGATACTTTCTTGAATCTCATTCCCGACCTCCATCAGATCCGCCATCTCATCCTGCATCTGCTCGATCTTATCCACATCGACCTTTCCATACTGCTTCTTGAGTTCCTTGGTCGTGGTCTTCATCGCGTCCACCGTCGTCATCACATTCTTCAAATTATCCTGCATCATCCCCGCCTGCTCCATATTCCATGATTGTTGGGAGAGCTGGTCGCGCTGCGCCTCGTATTGTTTTCGTCGCTGGAGGACCTTGAGCGCTTTCTGCCGGAGGGCATTCTTGCCCGGCCCGTCGCGCATCTTGGCGATCTTGCTTTGGTATGTGGAGAGCTCGGAGTTGAGGGCTGCTAGCTTGACATCTATGCTGGAAACTCGAGTGTCGACCTGTTGTATTGTTAGTGGGGTTATCTTGAGGGGCGGGGATGGGTGCCTTGGATCGGGCTTGTGCGGGCATCGTACATTGCTGATAGCGCCTTCAAGAGTCGGCTTGGGGCCTGTACTCTTTGTGCCGAATAGTCGGTTCATGATGGTGGGTTGGGTTGGGGGTTATTATTGAAAGGTGAGGGTGAGGGCAAATAGGCAGCGGACTTGAGAGCGATTCCAGACCGCGCGTGGCCAGTGCTCAATAAAACCGCGATGGGTGGGCCGAGGTAGTGATTAACCAATAATCGCGACAGAGCTGGGAAGAGCTGGCAAAAGTATAGAATAAACGAGAAGTCTTTGAATTGTTTCCTATGTAAGTAAATACGTTATGTACATGTACGGAGTACGTAGACCGGATTGCCTGGAGCCACTTCTTGGCTTTCCCTTTCCGTTTTGGTCCTGAGGCCGTGCTGCTTTTTCCTCAGAGTAAAATTGAGCACGACACTTTATTAGATAAGCTCACTGATCTCCCCGGGGCCGAGCCCTGAAGGGAGGTCCCGAGGTCCCACCCTGGGGGCTGCGTGAACCCCGTGGCCTGGGTGCCCACCTCAGCCCTGTGAACTGATATCCTTTCGAGGTACCTTGGCCCTAGACCTCTGGCTTGTCAAATTCGGCCATCTTCCTGAAGTATGATAAACTTACAGAAGAGACACTGCCTGCTTCTAACCGCACCTAGGTCTAGAAGGACAAGCTAGACTTAACAAGGGTATTGTTTAAAACTAGTTGCGCCTTGTTCTTTGCATGGCATGTAGAAACCTGTGGATTGTGATCGGAAGTATCAATAAAAGATAACAAAAAAGTCATCGCCCGGAGGCGATCCGGCAGCTTGAGATCAAACGGACTCAAACTGAGGATGGACGGGGATCCAAAGCAGCGGTGCCAAATGGTCGCCAATCCATTCATACATATTGAGCAGTGCTATTTCTCATACGAAATGAAAATAAAAACAGAATTGAGTTCAAAAATTTACATTACCTGAAAAGTTCATTTCCTAAACATAACTTCTCCATTTCCCTTCACACCAAGCCCAGAATTTATTCCCATAATCCAGACCCCCTTCCTCCTTAGAATCCCCAGCTTTGATGAGATCCTGTCGTGGAGTAGCCTCATTTGGGCGAATCCGGCCCCAGGGAATGATATACGAACCGCTCTTTTCCAACGTGACATCGGGCGAGAGTCCAGCATAAAGTTCCGTGTACGCGCCGTAGATCGCATCACTCAGGAG